GTTGAATTGAAATTATTTTTACTGAACTGAAATTATTTTTGCTGAAATGAAATTATTTTTATTGAACTTAAATTAATTTTACTGAACTGAAATTAATTGGAAAAATTGGTCGTAATAGCACCAATTATTACAAAGGTGCGCGTAGCAGCACAACCTTTCGAGAGTGCGTTCTACATCACAAACTATGCACTTGGTTGCAAATAGCAGCATAAATGATACCAAAAAACTGAGATTTTGCCGGAAAACTGATAATTTAATATGTTATTTTTTTTTTATTCTCGTGAGATTGATTACTCTATCACTCCATTTTATTTTCTCCCTGTATATTTGTATCATTCTCAACCTCCACCATTACTGTGATTCCTCTTTAAAGTTTACAGAGGGCTTCTTTGATAATTGTGGGTTAAGGACGGCGAATGGTAATCTCTCATCGAATTTTAGGATACAAAAGTTACTTTGTGATACCAAGCCCCCAAAAATACTACAAACATAATGTTGCTTAATTGCTTTTTTGTTTAATTACTCTTCAAATTTCTATTTTCACTCTTTAAGTTAAGTTCAAGGATTTGTTTTACCAGATCAAATTTCTATTTCACCTTCTAATACTTTCTTCTCAGATTCCAAATCATTCATCACTTCAATTGCACGTGTCAACTATTTTTTTATATCCATCCAATTAAAAAATTTGCAATTATCAACCTAAAAATAAAAATTTCCTTCTCAATTACCCACAATATATCAATACTCAATTACATTAATTCTGGGGCATAAGAATTGCATACCTTAACATGTCTTCTATTCCCAATGTACTTTTTCCTCAATGTTGACAAAGAGAGTGATAGGAATATATAGGAAGAAAATTAAATGGAGTGGTAGAGGAGTTTAATAAATCATTCACGCGAGGATAAAAAAAAATCTAAGAAATATTAAAAATTCCAGTTTTTCGGCAAAATTTAGTTTTCCGGCGAAATCTCAGTTTTTCGGTATCATTTATGTTGTTATGTGCACCCAAGTGCATAGTTTGTGATGCAAAACACACCCTCAAAAGGTTGTACTGCTATACGCACCTTTGTAATAATTGGTGCTGTTGCGGCCAATTTTTCCAAATTAATTTTGTTGAACTGAAATTATTTTTACTGATTTTTTATTATATTTCTTCTTTAAATTTACTGAATTTTATTGAACTGAACTTATTTTTACTGAAATGCAATTATTTTTAATGAATTGAACTTATTTTTACTGAAATGAAATTATTTTTATTGAACTGAAATTTTTACTTAATATTAATTTTTTTAAGGTAAAATAAATGGGGCCTAAGTGAATCAATTCTTACTTTGTTATCGAAAAAATTTGTTAATATCAAGTCCTATAAATTTCATGGCATACGTCTAGAAAACAAGAACCTTAAACGACAAGTAGAAACCACTGCTTGCTATTTTCACATACACCGGCCATATAATTGTCTAGTCTTTTTAGTCAACTTAAATTCTTACGTAAGAGATGTCATTAGTTGTTAAATTAATAATTGTGAGTAGAATTATTGTCTTCCTGTTTGTCACGGAAATTTAATAATGGTTGCCGGTTCTTACTTGTGATGAATGTTTCTTTCAAAATAAGTTAACCCATTCTTATTTTTACGTAGTCACTGCACATTAAGTTGAAAGAGTGGATTTCTTAGTATTATTACACAAGTTGTTTGGGTTCTTTTTAATTAAGTACTCCGTAGCATTTTGAATTGGAAAACTTATTCTTATTCTTTTGTTAAATTTTAAAAAGGGTATATAACTATATGAATATTATTTTGAATTGGGAAAATTATTTAGGTATAAAATCACAAGCTTTGTATAGTGTTAAACGAGCCCGAACCTCATCCGTCACGAGTGTTTATTTTAAAAGTCCAAGAAAGTTTTACCTCAGAATCATATGATAATGAGGAGAGTATCAGATTAGTCCCTTAGCCTTATAAGATGGGCACACTTTTTCACCTTTTTCAATGTGAGATACATATCCAAATACTCTCTCTTGCTTTTACATTCACTTAATGTGAGATAATACTTTTACAGTTCCACTTAGGGGTGAGCAAAAATTTCGAGTACCCGAAATTGGAACCAGAATAGGTTAGGAACCGACGGGTCCAAAACCGGAATTAGATTCGGTGGTTCCAATTCCGGGTAATAAATAAAGGACCCAGCTACAACCGGTTCCAATTCCAATTATCAGCTTTTTGGAACTGGAACCGGTTGGATATCCGGTTACCCAATATATGCTAAACTAAATAAATTTTAAATAATAAAAATATGTTGAATGTATCAAGTTATTAGTAAAATAAAAAAAAATTATTAACACCTAACATAAATAAAAATAGCTTAATGCATATATATAAATATAAGTATTAAACGCTAAAAATAAAAATAACTAAAAATAAGTTTTATAATTTGTATTATATTTTAACAATTACATACATAAGTGGATACCCGGAACCGGAAACCAATACCCAGTGGTTCCGGTTTCAATTCCAATTCTTAAATTTTAGGAGCCGGTTAAACCAATTCCAATTCCGGTTCCAAATTTTAGGACCCGATTTCAATCAATTCCGAGTCCGATTCCTAAAATTTTGATCGGATATCCAGTTTACTCACCCCTAGATCTACTTATATAGTCACATCACTCATTTGTGAGTTTGTTCATAAACCCAACATATAAATAGTATATTACGCGCATAAGCCACTAATGCTAGTCATCACCTGAAGCTACCACGCAAATGACACGAGTCGCGTATTATTGTTTTCAATCCATGCGTAAAATGCTTGTCATCGCGCACCGTACCAGCTGTCATTCTCTCACTCCAGTTTAACTTGATTCACATTTATTCGACCGCTCACACGCTAATATAAACACAGCAATAACCAACTTAAACGTCATCATCTACTCAACCTAATATCTACGTATACTACGCAACCAACATAGCACTTTTGTTATTAAGTGAAGATGTCAACGGAACAAGAGAGGAAGGCGCTTGAAGATAGGCTACTAGGGTGTGGAGAGACTGTGGTAGCTGCTGGTGACACTAGGGATCGTCAAGATAGCCTTGCTGAAGGCGGCCGTAGTCGGGGAGGCCAAGGCAATACTCGTAAGGAGCATATAGATACCAAGTCCGGTGACGAGAGGGATAAGAAGAATGAAGGATTCCCCATTGATGAGATAACGTTCCGTAGATTGCCTTAAAAATGTAGTATTAGAGTACTATACGTTTGTATCACTATTAAATACGGAGTAGAGTATGTATGAAGCTAAGCCTAGTAATATTGTGTAATTAGCTAGCAAACGTTTTTATTTAATTTGATTTTTAATATTATGGAGTACTCAATAAATATTCAGATCGGTTTGTGCTTTGAATAATTGAGCTTTAAATTTTTTGTGTTGTGCTAGGATTTTCAAACTGGACCGACCTAATTTCATTAGACCAATTTTTAGAAAACCAATCAAAATAAAGGAAAATTTTGTATTTTATCACCCTAAAATCACTATATTTAGATTAAACCAACCGTTTTTTCTTTTATTTTTCGTTTAGTATCGCTGTGGTTTTATTTTATTTTATTTTTCTTTTTAAAATTATATGATATAAATTATATAATGAATAAAATTTGTCAAATTTATTAAAATCATGATAATTTTGAAAATTGACAATAAAAAGGGGGAAATGCCTTTTTTTTTATTTTCTGTTTTTGATTTTTTGTTTTAAATAAAACAGAAAATTGAAAACAAAAAACGATGTCAAACAAGCCCACCGCCTATAAACAATTTCTATTTCGTCCAATCTTGCTCTATTAATGTTTTTGGGTCATTTTGGCTCTTTTAGAGGCTGATTTAAAGTCAAAATTGACAAAAAGAATAAAAAATGTATATTCCCTATTATTATTATTATTATTATTATTATTATTATAAACAGATAAAGTCATACAATCTACCATAAATTAGTGGGAAGCCGAGATACTATTCGGGCCCCCACTCCTCTAGCTATTACAAAGCCTACCTCAGTGAAGATATGAGCTGTAGCACGAGCTCCAATGTCTTGCATCGTCGAGAACCTCTACTATATATTATTATTATTATTATTATTATTATTATTATTATTATTAAAACTCCAAGGCACAACATATTATCGTCACATGTCATTCTTCACTCAACATGACTTGGTGCCACACGAGCAATGACATGAAAGTCAAGACTTTACAATAAGTTCCGCTCTTAAAAAAATGTGTATTCAAATATTTGAATTTAAAGCCATGCATCTCTACCGTTTAAAAAGTATGAGAAAACACTTATAAATAGTATGAGGACAATTATATCCTTAAAATGTTTATTTACCTATATGCCCCTTTTGATATGATGTTAATAATTTAACTCTTATGAATAGTGTTTGAACAATTATATCTTCTAAAATATTTATTTACTTAAATTATTTGCCCTTATTTATGTTAATTGTCTTTTTTAAAAACTCTTAGGAGTAATGTGTGGACTGTTATACCCTTAGAAGTATCCGTTTATATATTTTCCCTCTTTTTGATGTTGACAACTAAAAGAGTTATTCGAAAAATGGCTAATTATAGCACGCATTAGCCACCTTAGATATTATAAAATGATATGATGATAACATTACATGTTGATTGTGTTTTAGAGTTTTAATAATAATAATAATAATAACAACAATTTAGATATCTAACCATTATATCTTCAACTCATGTAAAATTTAATACTTAATGATGAGTCTAGTATCATAATATTATAATGATACGAATATATGATCGTCATCCGAACCAAAAACTAGTTTTATTTTCAAATGTCACATGTAATCGTGTATAAATTTATTATGAATTGCACTGATTGATATCTAACATGCTATTGCTAACCTTCAAAGAACTTTTACTAAATCAGCCTTAGTGCAGTAGCAAACACCGTGATTCACAAACACTAATCAGTATGCAACAAATCTAGACCCTATTTGGTTTAGCTTATTTTAGCCAATTACATTTATATGTCGATTAAAGAAATTCAGATATGTAATAATTTTATTTTTTTTGTCGTTTTCAACAATACTAGGCAAAATAAGTTTTTCAAATAAATTGGCCAACGAAATAGTGTAGATAATTACAAATAAATTCAATTTAGACAAAATAGGTTGAAATGAATCAAATAATCAAAACCCAACCTTGATCAAGAATGGTTCTATACTTGTATTTCTTCCCCCACCCCCAAAAAATTAAAAAAATAAAGAAATATCATAAACCCAACATTAGGGTTTTACGCTAAAAAATCAAAACTGAGAAAAAGAGCGGGAGCATATCACCAAAAAATTTATGCTGAAGCAAGAAGAAGGAGGCAGAAAGAGAAAGAGAGAGATGGAGAGCAAGCAGGAGAGCTCACCAACAATGGCGGAAGGAGTTCGAGAACTCACTGTGCTCGGAGAATTCAAACCATTTGGCTTAATCGCCGAATCTCTCGATGGCAAGCCAATTGATAATGTATCTGATAAGTATGATTACTTCCTCTTCGATCCAGAAGTTACTAGGGAGAGAGACGAATTCGACGGTATCGATTCCTCCGCTTCCTCTTCGATTTCGGTTGATGGTTGTGATCATGAGATTTTCATCCGCGGAAATAGGTATTTTTTAATCAGATTATTGTAATTAATTTTGGTTTTTGTTAGGTTTTTTGTTTGATTTATTGCAATGTATTTAAAATTCTGATGTTTTTGTGTAATTTTGTTTCAAATTGTTTGTCAATCAATAAATGGTAGAGATTATAGGATGACTGGATAAGCAAGAGGAAGAGGAGAAGCTAAAATTTGTTGTCTTTAGAACTAGCGCGAACCAGAGATATATCTAATTTGTAAAATAATAATCTTGACGATAAATGTGGAAGTTACAGGAATTATTTTTTTTTTTTTTCCCCTTTATATTTTTGATTATATTAGACTGGAGTGCACAATTTTGCTCCATTGATAATTTGGAGAGCTGTCAACAAAAGTGACTTCTCTATTCATAATTACGGAATGTAAGTTTTTGGTGAAAATGTCGTTCGGGGAGCTCATGGGGTACTTATGAGAGGAAGGGGTTATGATGTTGTGAGCTAGTTATTGAAACAATTGTTAATTGGAAGCTTGTAATTGGATACAAAGGTAGTTCTTTTTTTTTTTCCTTGTTCTTGATGTAATCATAGTGACTAGAAGATGGAGGGTAAAGAGGAGGGGGGGGGGGGAAGAGCGGGGGAGAATAACACAATTAGCTATGATTTGGGAAGTAATAGTGCACAAAGATCTCCTTTGCTGAATAAGAAACTGTATTAATTTGTTTGGTTTGTACGTTCATTTGATCATATGATTCAACGGATCAATTGTTGGAAACATGCCTTTTGCAGTAACTGAATGAATCATCTAATTGGATGCAGGATAATGTGGATTACGGGTTCACGAGTGTACAAGAGATTCACCCTAAGTTCTGCCGTAATTATGGTAAATTTTTTTATTCTATTCTCTGTTCCTATAAATTTGTTTATGATATTAAACAAAAGCAAACACTCTTTCTTAGTTAAAGTGGGATTCAAATTTTTTAGCTTCCCAAATTCATCTAGATTTAAGCACATGATAATATAACTGCAAGAGCTTAGAAGTTTTCTGATGTCTAAATTGGTCTGGTATAAAGTCTTATCTTGTTTATTGCAAGACGCTGTATTGCTGGCTGAGTATATTTCTGGAGGTATTCCTTTGAAATCCTTTGTTTTCTACATGTTGTATATGGTGGAGACATGGACATTGACTTTAGTATTGATAATTGGGATGCATTGATCTTTTTATCAGTCAATGCTGTATAGGACTGATATCTGTTTGTATTGATGTCCAAACTGAATGCTCAGGCTTGCTGGTGTCATTTGGCTCATTCATCTGAGGCTGTACTGTGTATTTTGCAAGTTGATGTCTTGACAATCTTCAATACAGCTGGTAAGAGTTTTAAACCAAGCTAGCCGTTCAAAGTTGTATCTATACTATACAGGCTTCATCTGGAAAGTAGTCATGTGATTGTTATGGATAGCATTAAGCTGGTTCATATGATATCCTTACTAATTCAATAAAACAAATTGATATTGCGTTTCTGGATGCTGAGTAAAGAATTCTGTCTTGAATTGAATGAGATTTCCAAAATAGTGAGAAAATTAAGTCTGTTGTTTTCTAGCTGAACATGAAAAGGAAAATTGAATTAACTGTAAATCTCTATCTGCAGGGGAGCTGACATCAGTCCCACTTCCGGGCATAGTTACTTCAATATGGCCGCTTCCATTTGGGCTGCTTGTGCAGCAAGCGGCAGAAGGGAACCGTCCAACTTATGCCCCTCTCTCATTTTCTGCTCCTTTATTAAATTCCAGGGATACACTTTTAAAAAGAGAATTACGACAAAGTCCCCAACAGATCTTTGGCTTTTCTAGCTCTGATGACCAAGGGAATTCAGCTTCAGTGTCTTCTCATCTAATATTGAATGATCCACTTGAAGAACCCCAGGTGTGCATTATGGGCAACACCCCTAGGCATTTACTGTTATTATTATATATATATATATATTTTAATTGTGTCTGCCTTTTTGTTTTTCCTGCTTCTCCTTTAATCTTTTCTTGTTGTCGGCTAAGTGATGCGATTCATAAGCTGGAAGATTCTGCCTCATGTATGCATTCATAATATATTTGTTAATATATTCTCTTTATACTTCCCAGCCGGTGTATGTTGATGAAAGAGGTGGATTGAAGATAATGAAGGATTTTGATGAGAGAACAATCTGGACTAGTGACCGTGTTCCTCTTATTGCTTCCTATAATAGAGGTTTCTATTTTTGTACCTCTTTATTTATTCCCAAATTTATAAACAAACAAAGCCTTCACCTCGCTAGTTTTCTGACTTTTCTCTGTTATTATGCTTGCAGAGAAGACGCAACACTCACTTTGGGTAGCAGAAAGTGTCAGTACTTGTGTTGGAGAGCATGTAATTTCTAGTTCTCACGAAGCCCACACTGAAGTGTTCCCATGTCAATTCTCATTCCGAAGAATTTGGCAAGCAAAAGGCTACCAGGCAGCTGCTACCAAGGTGTCTATTTGCTTATTTGTTGATTCTCCATCCTAAATGCTCTTGTGAACTGAGCGCAGCTAATCATTATGAAAAACGAAGAAAGAATGCAAAAATGGTCACCACAGAGATTCTTTTCCTTCTTTGTGTAATACATACATCTACCATGCTGCTTATTGCCTTGATAGTTTTTTGCTTTTCCAGCAAAAAAGCAAAAGAATGATATACACCAACAAAAGTCGAGAATGAAGAAGTTAAGATTTTCTTATCTTATGTTTTCCTACAAACTAAACCTTTGTCATCTTTAGGTCTTTGTAGCCACCGATGATGACGCAGCACCTATTATTTGTTTCCTTCTCCAAGAACAGAAAAGGTTATTATCCATAAGGCTTCACACTGTTCAAATTAATGATGAAATACTCTTTGACGTCAAAGCAGACATGAGTTGGAGCATACAAGCAGTTGCAGCCGAACCTGTTGCTGTCACCCGCCCAAGGTAGTTTATAACCTAACATTAATCAGTTCATTTTAAATATGGTATTGTATTTTGATTGCAAGTCTTTTTTAGGGCAAAGGTCGGGCTGCTTCCTTTGATGGACATTCTTGTTCTGGATTCAGAGAACAATTTTTTTCTTTATGTAAGTTGCTTGTATTTTGGTGTGCTTTCAAGTACTATTATTCACTTTTATCTGTAGTATATGCTTGTTGACATCATTATCACCTCTGAGTTTCCTGTATTCTTGGCTTTCAATGATTCTGGTTTTGTGATCTTTTTTTATGAAACTATTACTTTGTGTTTGAATTGCATATTGCCAGTGGCCAAGAATTTGAGTTGATTGTCATCTGGCAAGCAACCTAAAGCCTCTCATTCCTTTCAGGATGGTAATTCTCTTGATTAGTTGTGGAAGTGTGAACTTCAACTCTGGCTGGTTGTGTCCACATGAAGGACATTAGTACTATAAGTTTGGTGTGTTATTAAAGAGGTTAAAATGAATGATGAGATAGTTGTCAGTTTAAAGCATAGAGAAGATGTGCCCTCAGCAAGACTGATAGCTGAGTTTCTGATGAGCAGTTAAATTGAATACCCATTTATACTGTTTATCATGTATGGATTATTGCAGAAGGCATTCTAGAAATAGATGTTAGACTACTTATATGTGTTGAAATAAAACAGTGTAGTGGCTGTAGTAGTTTCAAACTTTCAACCTTCAATTCACTGTCTAGGAGCTTGAAATAAATGTGCTAAGGAGACATACGAGAGCAAGAGAAGAAATGACACTTTTATTATAAATATGTACTCCATGGGATTAAGAGTCTGATCTATGAGGTGATAGTAAATGGCCATTGTCTCATTTCATTGACTACTGTACTGCAATGTACTCATAAAGTAGAACGAAATAGATGGGGTAGTGTGGGAGCAAATTCACTTGGTATAACCCATTTTGTATCATTTAGAGTCCATTGTCTTTAGTTCAGTGAAGATTTCTTGTGTTGTGGTTTGACATGCACTCAATGCATTGCATTGATGTTACTGAGTTGGCACGAAGCATCCCTGTAAGGCTGTAATGGGAACATTCGAGCTTTTAGTGCTTTATTTTCAACTTGAAGTTCCTCAGCCAATACAATATCCCTATACAGAAAAATAATGACACTAAAGAGTGGAATTGTGGGGAGTATACCAATGGAATTAGAAAGAAAAGAGGATGTATTAAATGCCAAGCTTGCTATATCATATCATATTGACAGGAGATGATTAAGGGAGGTGAGAATTAGAAGAGTTTGGTATTGGAAAATTCTTTTGATGTTCTAGATGGAGGTTTTCTCCATATTACCTCTACAAAGAGAATTTGTAAGACCTTTAGAAAGCTATGTGATATAAACAAGTAACACAACTACTTAATCTGACGGTGGAGGACTTTTCTTGTTCTGGACTTCTACAGGGTCAGAACATTCCTCTCTGTTTTAGCTGACAAAATTGCTTATCCGAGCCTTTCTGTACGTAACGTTTGCTGTTCTGGTCTGGTTTTGTTTCTTCCAGATGCTTTTTGAACAGCAAATTATTTTGAAATGGATCTCTTCCTGAATTTCTGGTGTATAAATGCCTCTCTTTATTTTTTGGAAACAAAATTTTCTTTTTAGGGTCCTTGAGTCCTTGACTGATGGTTTGATAAAATTAAGACTTATTGTTGAGGTTACTTTTTTTTTATGAGGGCCAATTTCGATCCTGTATGTTTTTAATTCTTTCTTATTATTACTTTGCGCCCTATGATGTATCACTGTTTTTGCAATGGCAGTCAGGGAAGCAGTGCCTTTGTAAATATACACTTCCTCTCTTTCTAGGCAATCATCAGCTTAAAGAAACTATTAATCCTCCAAAGAGAAGATTTATTCACAATGTGAAGATTATAGGATTGGCTGATGGAGTTGGGGCAAGAGTAAATGTGATCTTAAGCAATGGACAGGTATGCAGAAGTTCATTATGCTAAAGTATTTTCATATGCTATTATGTTTCCACAGATGGAATCTCTGAAAAGTGAATATGCATAGAACATTCTACTATTTTGTGAATGCATGGTCATAGGATACTATCTATTTTGGAGTTGTGCACATGCTTTTCTGCTAAAGCTGACGTTAATCCACGATTAACACCGCATATTGTGTGGTGCTAGAAGGGCATTGAAGTCTTATATTGTCATTGGCGGCGTCTATAAATATGTGGAAAATGAACGACTAAAGCTCACGTGTCTTTTCTCTGGACTCCAGAATTCACTTTGTGGCAGATGGTTTTTATTTTTATTTTTTTTTTTCAAAAGTTTTTATTGTTTATCATGGAAAGTCAATTAATTAATGGGATTTTTACAGATAATTTGTTGTGCTTCTCTGAGATTACATTTTTCCCAAGTTACTTCAGTTATAGTCCCCCCCCCCCCACACACACACACACACAAATCAAAATATCCTTTCATGAAGACCTGAAGCTGATATCAACCTGTTTGTAATATTTATGTTTGGGGCAGCTCTAATCTTCGAGAACAGTAAAAGGGTCCTTGCAAAGAGCTCGCCTATGCCCGCTATTTTTCTCACCTATTCGAGAAAGCAGTCAAGCCTGTGTGAAAGCTATATACAGAATTCAGGGGAAGGCCAGAAGGGTCTTTTAATAGAAAGTTAGTTAAAGGATGCATTGGGTAGCAACTCTAGCAATTAAGATGTGTTAATGATGTAATAAATAGAATGAATGCTTAAAAGAGAAGTTCATTGTGATAATAATAGAGATTAGAGAGAAACAAGCAGATGGAGGATTTCACATTTTCACCTATCGAAGAATGAATGGATTTTACTGGAGCTAAGATCACATCGGTCATCTATACAATCTAATTTACTTATTTGGATTGATAATTTTTATTTCTTTAATTTGAGTTCTTCGCAGTCTTGCTTGTTTACAACCTTATGGAATGATGTATTTTGCTTAGAAATCTTTAAGGCAAGACTTACTGCAAGAATAATTTCTTTCCTACTAAGAGACTTAGATTTTCATGAATAAAATCTAGACTACATGGTGGCAGAGAGAACTATCAACTTACTGGTGTCTGTTATGTCCATTTCTGAAGTATCAGAATTGCCTGTTTCTTCTGTTCAATTCTTTTTCTCAGTTCATATTGGATTTCTTAAAGTTTCTAAGTGAGATTTTACCGTGCACCAATTTCTTCAGATGCTTAGATGTTCGCTGCGAAGAAGCCCTTCGTGTTCCTTGGCAAATGATTGCATCACAGCAATGGCTGAAGGCCTTAATTCTTCCTTCTACAATCAATTCCTGCAGTTTTTTTGGGGTAATTGTGAGACCGCTGATTTATCAAAGGCTAATTCTGGTGCTGATGAGTGGAAATCATTTGAGAGCGTCATAATGCAAATTTACAGGAAGTCTCAGTCAACTTCACAACCGAAATCTGTTCTCGTGTCCGGGTCATCATGGGAGTTTCTTGTCAAAAGTGAATTTCATAAAAATTATTGCAATCGTAATTTCTTCCCTGGAATCTCAACTGAGGGGTTGGATGACAGATTGGAAGATCATGTTTCTTCTTCAAAGACGGAAGAAGTGCACAGCCCAGATGGACTTTTCTCTTCCAAGTTTCAAATTGAATGCCTGGATTCTTTGCATGCAGTATATGAAAATCTTAAACTTATCAATCTTCGAAAGCGGTAAACTCCAAATTCTTAACTTTGTCAACCCTTTTGTGCTCTGTGACTTGAGGTATTGTGAACTACACCTTCTGTCCGTAATTGTTTGCTCAATTTCCTTTTGTGTTGTCATTATTCATGGTCCAGAAAAAAGCTAATAGAGCAAACAATTAGGGACAGAGAGATACTCTATGCATTATGGAGGTACTTCTGCATACCTGCGGCTTATGTAATGTAAAAATCGTCTGTTGCTCTATACTAATCATAATAAGCTAATTGACAATAAAGCCAAATATGTGCTGATCTGAAGCCGAATGAATGACTCATCACCCAAATTGATTTGACCCGGATCTGTCGCAAAGTACCAATTGCAATCTCTACTTATCTGAACTTAGTTTCCTGAAAATATTTTTGAAGGTGAAAAGAGTAACGCCGTAGTCTATTTTAATAAGTGATCTCAAAGAGTTACTTCGTATATTTTAGTCTCAAAGCTGGAATTGTGTCTTGAGTATCTGATGGGTTCATGTTGCACTCTATTGTATATATATACCCAATTTAATTAAGGTACATAATGTTTGAACTAAGTTAAATGGTCACTTTCTGTATGCACTTCTTATTTTGTTATGAGGTAGGTAATGGTCATTGCGTGCTTTGCGCTGTGAGAGTGTAAGGTTGTTTTTAGCTTGCCTATTGATGTTTGACTCCTAAAGGCCAGTTACTAGTCAATACTGTCCAATAAAAGGCTTATAGAGGCTTTATAAAATTTTGCTGTGACCTGTATGAGTCACCGTAACAATATACATTTGATGCCTTACTGCTATTGCTTTCATGACTGCAACTGTGATAAGTATTCTGTTCAGCAAATGAGCAGTGACTTTGTTTAAAGCAGCCATTGCTGTTTAAGTTTGTTGAGTGTATAAAATCTCGAGAAGTTCCTGGCGTTTGTGGATTTAGTGGCTATTATGTACCTTAATTGTGGGAAATTTTTTATGCTTAATTCTAAATGGTCTGTCGTCTGTGAGACTGAGTGATTAATGTTGGATTGTGGAATTTTCTTTACATATTGGCTTCTAGTTAATGGATGTTGTGTGATGGTTACCTTCTTTGTTGTCACTATGAGTGTGGCATACTTTATTGATCTTTAGCCATTTCTTGCAGAGATTTGGAGCATCTTGCTGTTCTTCTATGTGAAATCGCTAATATTTTGGGAGAGGAGAGTTATATTGATCACTATGTACGTGATTTTCCTATTCTTTCCAAGATAATAAGGAGAAATCGGACTTCTTCGCCAAGATCCCCCCCATCTTTGTACAGATGGCTTGAAAGTTGTTTGCTTCATGGACTTAGCTTTGCTAATCTTGATGACATTCCACCTCTTGCTCGTAAGGATGGAAGCTCTGCTGTCAGCTGGTCTCGTAAAGTGGTCTCATTTTATAGCTTATTATCTGGTGCAGAAAGCATGGAAGGGAAGCTCTCTTCTGGTGTATCTTGTAAGATTGCTTCAGGTTCATCATCTACTCCCGAGGAGAAGATGGTCCTTGCAATGGTAGCTGAAGGATTTGGTTTGCAACAGCTTGATTTATTGCCTATTGGAGTCTCATTACCATTAAGACATGTATGTCTGATATTGTTAAGAAATAATGCTGATATCGTAGCATATTCGCGTTGTAACAATTTTATCGAAGTAAATTAGTGAATGAAATACCAGTGTATTGAATGCGGTTGCGCACTTCTAATATCATCTTAAGTTTTCTCATGCTCTCCAATTTACTGACATCACTTTACTTATATGTCATATCTGTAGGCTGTTGATAAGTGCCGGGAGTCTCCTCCTACTGGGTGGCCAGCAACTGCATACGTTCTTCTTGGTCGAGAAGATTTAGCTTTGTCTTGCGTTGCTCACTTGAAGAAATCTGAACAGCTTGAGACTCAAACTAATAGGCATTTGATTTCAATGTCTGCACCTTATATGCTTCATCTACAGCCCGTGACAATTCCCTCAACAGTATTAGATACAATTGCGATGGATACTTCAAAATTTGATAATGTAGATTCTTCTGATGATTGCCCAATAGATGGCATGGAGCATTTGTTTAACTCTAGCACTCAACTGCGGTATGGTAGGGACCTACGCTTAAATGAGGTCAGTTACCTACATTTCTGCTTTGTGGTTGGACATGGCTTTTGACCGTTGTGTTGGGGTTATGAGAACTGGCTCTAATTCTATTGCACAGAATAGATGGCTTTAGTTATGCGCGTAACCGGAAATTAATTAGATGTGACTCCTTCTGACCATGCCATGAGCTCTATCTTGTCTGGCTATATTACTGAGTTTATAGTCTTCATGAAGATAGTTAACTTTAGGATTGCCACAGTATTATTTGAACCTTTAGTACTTGATCTATAAGGTTGCTGTCCATTATGGTCTTTTTTTTTTTTTTTATTCCCATAATAAACAACTTTTTTTCTGTAGATTGCCTACAGGCTACTAGTAATTCTCCTCTCTTTTTGAAGTTGTTCATTTTCTTCCTATGATGATAGTCATAGGGATTGGGTTAGTATATAAGAACATGGGAGATGCCTAAGTTAATTCTCCTCTCTTTTTGAAGTTGTTCATTTTCTTCCTATGATGATAGTCATAGGGATTGGGTTAGTATATAAGAACATGGGAGATGCCTAAGTTGATTCGGAGTTTTCACGCTTCTGCATACTCTTTCAGGAGATCTGAAGGTTTAGGGATGTGCATTATAGTGAATATTTGTAATGGAGGTTAAGGGCTGATTACTTTCATTTTTTAGCTTAAAGAAGGTGAAAAATGTGAACTTATTTTTCATGTTGGGAACTACTCTCTGTATCCCTATCATCTTGTGGTAATTTTTAAATTTTTTTTTAGAAAAACTGGTATGTTTTTTCTATACACCGTCTTGGCTTCACTATGATTTTCATTGTTGACACATATTTCGGAAGTGAACAAGGAACATAAGGAATAAGTTTCAGTGGAGTAGTGCATTAAAAGCATAGAGTTGATAGAGAAAATACTAACTACATCCATCACATTACAAGTTGAAACAACCAAATAGGTATGTATGAGATGCATAGTGAAACAATGGAAGTAGTATATGCTTATGCAGTCCTTTACTGTTTTCCCTTCAGATTTGATGATATGTTTTATTATGAATTATCTTCTTATTTGAAGTTAGAATACTATACTTGTATAGCATGACTTGAAGTAGCCGTAAACTTTTTCTCTCATCTCTTTCAGGTCAGACGTCTTCTGTGCTCTGCAAGACCTGTTGCAATTCAAACATCTATTAATCCCACTGCATCAGACCAAGAGCTTCAACAGGTAAGGTTATATTAGTGTATAATACATATTCCCTCTGTCCCAAACTAAAGTCTGTCTTCACTTTTCACTTATTAAGGTTGGCAATGTGACTATACAAGTATACATTATTCCCTTTTGATCACACATTTTCCTCTATTAAACACATATGCTGTTCCACCTACTCAATCTTTGAAGGAGTATATTTCAGAATACCAATAAATTGGTTACCTTGAAAAGGATAGAGGAACTCTTTGGGATATCCTTTAATGTAGTCTTTCTGTGCCAACTTCCAGTTCTTTTTTAGGTAGAGTAGTTTTTGAATCAAAAGGGTTCTGGTAATGTATAAGTGGAGTGGTACTATTCTCTTATGGGCACACCATTTACTGTTTGATTTGAATTATATTTTTAGATTGCTGAGGCTAAGCTTATTGGGTATCAATTTAAGTTTCCTTTCTTGATGCATTATTTAGGGAGCAAGGTGCTGTATCTAAGGTGACATTGGAACATAGTTTTTTTGTTAGTCCCATTTGATCAAGTCAAAAATTTCTAACTGACTGTATTAAGTAATTTTATATAAGGAAAAAAGTCATGTAGAATCTTGTTAGTGTCGCATGTATATTAAAAAAATGCTTTTGTAACATTAAAACAACACTGGTCAAATTTGTGCAATGCATTATGCATATATTCTCTCTCTCTCTCTCATAAAATCAATGGCTTGTACACAATTCATAACCTTTCTTTCTAAAATGATTATATTGTTAAGATATAGTCAAAAAGACTTAACTTATTCATTATCCTTGTAAAGGCTCAGCTATGGCAGTTTTCCCAAAGGACGACTGCACTTCCACTTGGACGTGGAGCATTTACTTTGGCAACTTCTTGCACCCTTTTGACCGAGGTACTTATGTATATATGTTGAAGTGATAAAAGCTGTAGTTATAGTTTTTAAGCCTTCATTTGTTTTTTTTTCTATTTTTGAATTAGTATATTTTTTTAATACTACCTCCGTTTCAAATTATTTGCAATGATTTGACATAAAGTGTGAGTAAAAAATGTCTAATCATTGCAAATAATTTGAAACGGAGCTAGTACTTGATTATTGTTGTTATTTGTTACTCCCTCCTTTTGTGGTAGATGTTTCTTGTTTATGACTTTCCAAATTCTTTTGCAGGCACTCACAGTACCAAAGCTTGTTTTGGCTGGCCGGTTACCTGCTCAGCAGAATGCCACTGTATGTTGTGATGAAACACGTTAAATTTGATAATTTTTTCCAAACTCTTGTTGGCAAGCTGATTCATTTATTTTTCTTTTGTAGAGGATGTAGATAATTTTCAAATATACCTCTTTCTAGATGTGTTCTCTTTGTTGATTTCCATGGAAATGTGATTTAGCTGTTTTTTAATCCGTTGGCAGCCATGTCTTTGCCTCATTAGCGATATTCCTTTTCATGTTTCTTGCAAGGCTTTGCTTATCAATTACATGATTGCTCTTCTAATTGCCATGTTACTATTTAAAAAGCTTTGGAACTTCAATTGAAGCACATCATCATTTGTCCCAAAATAACAATGACTGATCTGGGCCATATGGCCCAGTTTTTCTGTTATAATTAATTTTTTTCGCATAATTGTGATACTTGTATTCTTAATGATCTTTGATATTGATTCATTTAATGATTGGCATATTTAGTCTGAAATTATGCACAGCTTTTAGCATTGGTTGGTCGTCATAGGTTCATATTCATTTCTCTGTCTCCCTTCTTCTTCATGTTTTGCAAATCTTTGTTGGAAGCATGGAATATTGGTTGTTGTCTTTACATGCTGTCCCCTTAATGTTTTGGCTCTTATTTTCCCAAAAATTTGTGCAAATCTTGGCTTTATTAATTACCCTGATTTTTTTTTTTAAAAATCTTTTTTTTGTTAGGTCAATTTAGATCCAAACATACGGAATTTGCAAGAGCTTCGAGCTTGGCCTGAGTTTCACAATGCAGTTGCTGCTGGTTTAAGGCTTGCACCATTTCAGGTATGTTTGAGATTTTCCTTCCCTAAGATGTCTTTTCCTCATCACTTATATCTGATGTATGGATCTTATAAAATGTAGTACAAAAATAGATATAATAAAGTTCTCATCTTGTTTCTGGTTTCATTTATTATCAATACAGAATTATTTATAAATTTTATATAATTGATTTTATTTCCAACTCATTGCAGGGCAGAGTGTCTAGAACTTGGATTATATATAACAGGCCCGAGGAGCCAAATGCTATCCATGCAGGTCTTCTTTTTGCACTGGGGTTGCATGGACACTTAACTGTTTTAACAATAAATGACATATTTCAGTACTATAATAAGGTATGTTATGTAGGTGGATTTTTTTTCATCACTAGCAATATTATTTTCTTTTTGTACTATAAAAATGTTACTCAAATTTATTTTGTCAAAACTAGGCCATGCTCATGTACCAACAGGCAGCATGGGGCAAGTATCCAATAAGTATGACTTGTGGGCCTAAGCTCCTGAGGATTTTTCCTGCTGTAGAATATAAACCAGGTTGATGGTTGAACCCTACAATATTTTTACTAACCACTATCTTGCTTCATGTTAGGGACATGAAAGCACAACTGTGGGGCTAATGCTTGGCCTTGCAGCATCATACAGGGGCACTATGGAGCCAACAATGTCGAAGGTGATGCTTTTTAACTAATAAATTAATTTAATGTTCTCTTTATTTATATGCATTTTATGCTTCTGATGATCTTCTGAATACATTGATTCATAACTCACCTCCCATGTAAAGAAAGTTATAGTAAAACAAATTATATACTACCCTGCATGCAATAAAATATTTTATTAAGATGCCTTAAAAGCACAAGGTCTGATGCTCACTAGTCACAAAAAATGAATCCTAGTGCAGAGTCCTTAGTCTGTTTCTAGAAAGATCCCAGTGGAGTGGTAGAATAACTAGAATTTAGAGAAGTGAACCTCTTTTAAGTGACATGGATGACTTGTTGTTCAGGATCTTTAAATTACCTTACGTAGCTCTTAAAAAGGAAAAAATGAGCATTGCATCTGTTTACAAGTATCTTTTAAGAGAAGTTAGAAGGAAAACCAGATAGATCCCTAATGCAAAAGCCACCTTCTGTAGCATCCATGAAGGTGTAAAATTCCAAAAATATCCAGGTGTTTCCATCCAGATGTTTCACATACGTTCCTTTGACATCTTCCTAATCAATTCCATTTTGCAACGAGTTTTTTATCCGTTATTCCATGCTAATTTTATCATGATGCTTGTAATTAGTTAATGATGTTAAATACTCATTTTTGCTGTTCTCATTTGAAACATAAATCATCCCTTGTAGAATTTGCAGAATCAAAGGTACAACTGCATGTGCATATATTGACATACTTTAGATTAGTATGGACTCTACTTCAATAAGTTTATTGTTGTGTAACTCTCATGTTGTCATTTTAATTCTCTAAAACCATCTTCTTTTCCGGTTTCCCCATCTTGAAATGTGCTGCTGTTTCTGCATTTGAATGTATAGATGTTGAACAATCTTATTATGTTATGGTGCTGCTTATATATTTTTTGCAGTCCTTCTACGTTCACTTACCTGCCCGTCATCCGTCTTCCTTTCCAGAGCTAGAAGTTCCTACAGTCCTGCAGGTATTTTTCTTGTCATAATATTATGCTTTGCAGGATATATCTCATTCCTCTACAGTTTGTAGCTGGTGGACCTATATCTCTGGAAAATTGATGTGGGATCATGACCCTGTGAAGCATTTGATTCTAATTATAAAAAAGTATATAGTAAGATCATAGATGAAATAAATATGTTTACATTAGTTGGTGCATCACTGATTGTGTCCTTTAAGTATGTTATGAGGCTGCTTGATTCCTTGATATTTTTGAAGAAAAATGAGATGAGTTATTGTGTTTTTTTTGTGGATGAAGAAAAAAAAAATCTTGATAGTTATATTTGACATTGTGCAACCAGCTTATAGAGTAATATTTTGGTTGGTGAAAATAGGAATTCTTTATGGACTGCACTACAGACATGTTCTGATATCTGTTGCTTGTGTATTATATTCTTTCCATGAATAGTACTATAGCTGGCATATACCATGCTTAGGTGGTTCCTGAATGATGTAGTTGCAAATGTTTTTGGTGGGTCCTGAGTTTTTTGCTTCCTCATTTATTTTCTTTATATGGTTTCACAGTCAGCTGCATTGATGTCTCTCGGCCTCCTTTTTGAAGGATCTGCTCATCCTCAGACTATGCAATTTCTTCTGGTATTACATTTCTTTATCTCTTTTACTATACAGTTTGAGGCATGATTACTTAAAGATTATTATTTCATCCATTAGCATATTAAATAAAGATCTTATTTCGGCCTTTTGAGGTAGCATGCATTTCCAATCTTTACTAACCCTACCGCGGCTGCCGGAGTAGGTTACAATATCTTCCTCAAGTTTGTTACTTTTCTTGTTTAAAGAACATTAACTGACTGTAATTTTTTTTTTTTTTCCTCGCTTCCCTTTGGATCCAATTCTGTCTGGACTGACCAAAGACTCCTTTTGACTAAAGTGTTGTGTTTATTGGTTTCATGCAAACTGCTATTTTTTTAAGTGCCTACTGTTTGTTTTCTGTACTTGCTCGTGTCTGTTGATGATTTGTCCTTTGCATCTCTAACTGTCATCAACCAGCTAGGGTAAGCTTGCTTAAATTTGGAGGTCCCTAGATCTGCCTCAGGTGAGTCCTCAGTGTGTTTTTCTTTGGGGTGGGAAGGGTGAGATAATTCGTTTGATTCAAATATGAAGCGTAACTTAAGGTATATGCAAATCATAACGAAAGAATTATGTTTTTATGTTTTGAGCCTTTGCTGTGTCCTATAGCCAGTCCTCTTAAATGTAAAGAGCACTAAAAGCATGCATCTCCAACACAAAAGGACCATGTTATTGTCCATAACTAATTGATTCTTTTGCAGGCTGAAATAGGCCGTAGAAGTGGCGGTGATAATGTGCTTGAGCGGGAGGGCTATGCTGTTTCTGCTGGATTTGCACTTGGACTTGTTGCTTTGGGTATGAATTATTAGACCGAGCTCTCTTTATCACCTATTCCTGCTCACTGTGTGCTGTCCAATTGTAGGTGGTGGAGAGGATAAATTCGCTTGCATGGATACGTTGGTTGATCGATTGTTCCACTATGCTGGAGAAAAATTTGATGTATCTCGTCAGGTACTCATCATACACCACATTGATTTTCTATCTTTATTTGCTAAACCTGATGCAGCTTGAACCTTTTTATTATGGAATCTCTTTAATCCTTTGAATTGCTACCAATCCATTTTTTCAGGAAAAGTCTCTTTTGACATCAGTGACAGATGAGCATGGCAGGGGTATGGGACAGGTAATTCAGAAAAAGGCGTTGGATGTGATGGCATATTTGTGGGACTTTTCATTGTCTGTACATGCCTTGACATTTGAGGTATACTCTAATTTTTCCTCTGTTTGGATTATCTAAGCAGATGTTGGATGGCGTTCCTGTCAATGTAGATGTCACTGCACCTGGAGCTATAATTGCTTTAGCTTTGTTGTTTTTGAAGGTATGAATTTCGCAAACTCAATCTAGTGAGCCAGATAAAGTACTGTCTTGATAAATTGTCTTATTATGATCATGCTATGGAATGCATCTCGCTTTCTTCAAGTTGATTGAGAACAACCTACGATATCTTGCAACTCTGTTCATTTGCAGAAAAATATTTTGATCTGATTTGAGCAGTATTTGTTGATAGATATAATGTAAACTAGTCACTTGCAAGGACAACATATACTTCTGTTCCAGAATATTGCAACATGCAAGGGGGTGCATGGATTTTAAGAATTCCATGTGAGAGAGACCAATGAAGTGTCTCCCATATACAAGAGGAAGGCTAAGGAGAGGACAAAAACTATATGCAGTTATGCCCTCAAGCTATCCAATTTAACTGCTAAATAAAAAAAAAATATCAACTTATCAAGTATCTCTCAGAACCTTGTCCAGAAAGCTCCTTAGGTTTCTGTCTTCCCAATTGCGCCATTAAAATGCCAATAGATTCACCTTACACTTGACGAAGCCAATCAATATTTTAAAATTTTCTTTCTTTGCTGTAGCTCAAAATTATCGCCATTCAGGATGATGCTTTAGTAGCGACCCTGATTGTGTGTGTACATATTTTTTTACTTCCTGTGGTGGAGATATTTATGGAGCTATTACACCGACTTTTTTTACATATATGACATGATATATCTAAAATTGCTCATGTGATCTGCGAACTTGCTACACCATATGACTTGGCTCGATTTATGCTTCTTTCAGACTGAATCAGAAGTGATAGTTTCCAGACTTTCCATTCCCTGTACAAATTTTGAGCTGCAGTATCTGAGGCCTGACTTCATTATGCTTCGCGTTATTGCTCGCAATTTGATAATGTGGAGCAGGTTTGATGCCATAAACTTTTGAATGGGAGGATTGATCATACATTTAAAACTTAACAAGCTGCCTTTCTGACTCATGCAGGGTTAAGCCAACCAAAGAATGGGTTGAGTCTCAGATTCCTCAGATTGTGAAAGAAGGTATAGGGGCTCTTGGTGATGAACGGAATGATATGGATGAGGTGGATGAAGAAGCAATAGTCCAAGCATACGTGAATATTGTAGCCGGAGCATGTATATCTCTTGGTAAGTTAGTTTGATGAACCTTTCTGCCCTTTCTAACAAGGAACTAAATATCATGCTGTAAATTACTTCGTATTTAATTGTGGCATATTCTTGCACTTAACCTTTTGGTGGTGCAAACTATATTTTGCATCCCCTTTTTATGATGATGCTGTGTTTTTTATTTATTTATTTTTAAATTAAAAAAAAACTAAGATCCACTTTGGGTTTCTATTTTTCTAGCTTTTTTTTGGTTGCCTTTCTTCATTTTGACTTTTATATGTTTTCTTGCTATGCTACCAGAGCTCATTATTCGTGAAGATACAAAATAAATTAAAAGAACAAACCAGATGCTAAACACGTCTGCTTGGAGGCACTGCTATCTTTTTGAGTGTATCAGTTTATCTTATAGGATGCATATGATCTATAACTGTATCGTAATATGGTTTCAACTTATTCTGTCTCACCCCTCCAGTTATCTCAGCTGTGCCCCATCTTTATATTAAATACTGCAGTATCTCTCAATAGTGGTATACTCCCTCTATAATTTTTTATATACAGTACTTTGATCCGCGTGGAGTTTTATGCGGTTTAGTTGAATTTATTAAAATATTTTGTAAGTGGGGTTTGTTGGGGAATTTTAAAATGATAAATAAGAGATAATGGGTGAATAATTTATTTAAAAGTAAGGGATATGAGAGCAGAAATATCGATAAAGTATGAGTGGGGACTGTGAGAGGAGACAGATAATAAAGTAGTGTAGAATATATATCTGTTTAAGGGAAGTGTTGCATAATTAAAAATGAATAAAAAAGAACACAGGGAGTACTTCTGTACGTGGAGCAGCAGATTATTCTCAGTGCCTTCTTTGGAACCTCTTGAAATATCAATGAAATTTTACACTAGATCTTAGGGAACAAGTATTTGCCAAATCCTCTATGAAAATGGCTTGATGTGAACTTGTGTTGCAGCAATAACTCAGTAAAAAGAACGGTAAACTATCTGCACTTCTGCAGTTTCCATATGAAATGAAGAAGTGAATTACGGTTATGAAGACATGTCGATATGTTAGAATTCTATATTCTGATACTTGCCTGGACACACGAACATATTTCTAAATCTATTCAATATGTCTTATATTGTCAATTGGTCATATCCATGTTCCTACTTTCAATTTTCCGGGTGGATGTTTGTTTGCTCTCTTTTTTCTTTCTTTTTAATTCCATATTTTTGTGGCAGGTTTGAAGTACGCTGGATCAAGAAATGCCAACGCTCAGGAGTTGCTCTACAACTACACTGTTTACTTCCTGAATGAGGTCTTTATCCTGTTTATCGTATTTTGTTGAGCCTTTCAGCTCATTCTAAGTCACATGTTTAAATTTTGCAGATTAAGTCTGTTTCTGGTACAGCTGGAAGTATGTTTCCCAGAGGGTTGTTAAAGTTTGTTGATCGGAGCACATTGGAAATATGCCTCCACCTTGCTGTCCTTTCCTTGGCTTTGGTAAAAAAAACCAGGAAAAAAAAAACAAAAAACAAAAAAAAAAACAACATTATTTTACTTTTTATATTGAAATTGCAGTATTTCCTACTTTTACATTTTTGTGATACTGTTTTTTGGAAGCAGGTTATGGCTGGTTCTGGGAACCTGCAGACATTTAGATTGCTCAGGTTTCTGCGCAGTCGAAATTCTTCTGATGGCCAAGCTAATTTTGGGACTCAAATGGCTGTAAGTGTTATTTGTTTGTTGACAATTGATGTTCTGATATTTGTAGATTCTACATATCACATTTGTTGCTCTTGGCCTCTTGCTGTTGTATTTGCTGGGTTTGCATTCTCAGTGCCACTCCTGTTGGAGATTCTGTGTCTGTCACTTTTTTTCTCTCTCTTTATATGTTCAGCCTTTACGGGTTTTTTTAACTGTTCGATGAGAAGTTAAAAACATACTTCATAGAAAACAACTAAAACAATACATCACAACCAGTCCGGGGAGCGTTTCTGGATAAGATTTTCTGCTCGTTACTTCAAACTTCTTAGTGTGGAATGAAAATGAAAGTTAACTCAACATGCTAGAGCTCTGTTCTCTGAGCTTCTTTCTGGGGTTTACTTCAGGGGTGAAAGGCAGGGTGGGCGTTTGTATTGCAACGGTCTTTTATGCCCAAGGACTAATGATTATATGTTTCACTCTTGCCTGTACGATCACTGAAATTGACAATTTGTATTCCTAGACAATTAGCATTTAAAGTAATTCTATCTTCATATCTGTCTGACACTGACATATCATAAAATATTGTGGCAGCTATATGACTTTGTAAAAAATGATCTTTACCTTTGAGGTATGCCAACTGCATACTGTTTGTTTTGAAAGGATATATATATGGCTATTAGAAACTTGCCAGTATTTTCAAAATGGGGTTTTTATATCTTATGCCTTTTTACATGATCTAAATGCTTATATTTTTTAAAAATTTCATGGTACAGTAAGAAACTCCTTAAAACACTCTCAGTAAATTATTGTGTTGCCATCATGAGGGGTTTGCGCCTTTGCAATAGTGCCACTTAAATCCCTGAGTTTGTACTGTTCCATGAACTTGGTCGACACTGTATATAGTCCTCTAAATGCTTCTTCCTTTAATATCCTGTTCTTGAAAGTATTGGTCTCCAATTCTATAGATTTATTGTTGTATGTTCCTGTTAATCATCCGAAAAAAATAATTCAAGGATAGATATTTTTGATGTGGTTGTAGCCTTCGAGATATTCAAACTAATTATTGTTATTCCACTGCCTTGATGTAGGTGAGCTTGGCAATTGGTTTTTTGTTTCTTGGAGGAGGAATGCGGTCGTTTTCTTCTAGTAAGAGTGCTATTGCAGCTTTATTGATTACTCTCTATCCTCGATTTCCTATTGGAACAAATGACAATCGCTGCCACCTCCAGGTAAATTTGTTGGTTTAGTTAAGATGAAAATTTTGCCAAGGCAATGGTTGATGCTGTCCAGGCTAATACAAAGGAGCAGTATATTCCTACCACGAACTATTGCCTTGGAAAAATCTTCACTCTTTATTAGTTGAATAATTATATCTGCTGAATACAGATCTGTCATCTTTGATTTGCAGCCATATTTGGAATGTTTAAAAATCTGAAACATGTATTTAGTGACAGTCATGGGTCCTAAAGTAACTCTCTTGTGTCCTTTAGCTCAATCCTCGTTATGCTCAGCTGTAGGCTGTAGCAACTCTTTTTTGTCCTCTTCACTGTTTTTCTGCCAGAGAAAATTCCCTTGATTGTAAAAGCTCCTGTGTGATTAACTGCCTCCTCATCTGATTTGTTCGTTAAGAATTTATCTTTAAGCAGTTCAGCCATAAGTTAAAAATAAATCTGGGCTTCCAGATCCTTAGCTTCATGCCTTCATTCATAGAATTTCCATTGATTTCTCCAAATCAGATGTGCGTGACTCAACTGAAACCATATCTTGATTCATTGGCACAATTTGTCTACCTTACAGATCAGCATGCAATGCAACTTTTGTTTTTTTTTTTTTTTTTTTTTTTTTTTTTTTTTTTTAATTTTCCTAATTTTTACCAAAAAAAAAATTATATTATTCTGTCTTACTTGATTATCTTTGGCATTTGTTCAAAAAGATTATTGCTCATCTGAGATAGTGCACTTGCTTTCTCCCAGGCGTACAGGCATTTCTACGTACTTGCAACTGAGGCTCGCTGGATTCAAACAGTTGATGTTGACACTGGCTTACCAGTCTATGCCCCTCTTGAAATTACTGTTAAAGAAACTGAACATAATGCAGAGACAAGTTTTTGTGAAGTCACACCTTGCCTTCTTCCAGAACGTGGCATTGTAAGTTTACATACCAATTCAAAGTTAGTATCATTCTTAGCTATTAACAACTTAGTAAATAATAATAACGCAGTTGAAAAAAGGCAAGGGAAGGAAAACTTCATAAAAGCAAGTTCATTGTAGAGGGAATATTCTTTTCTTTAGTTAACTAATTCTAATTCATTATCACAATATTCCTAGAAAGCACCGAAGTTTGACCTCAGGGTTCTGTTGCTTTCAGCTTAAAAGTGTTCGTGTTTGTGGTCCACGGTACTGGCCCCTAGTCATAGAGCTTACTCCTGAAGGTAGTATGTATGCTTTGTTGCTTAGTTTTTTCAAAAATTAAAATTTTATAAAGTATTTTTAATAATAATAATTTAATTTGTAGATGGTGTTTTTTTCACACAGATAAACCTTGGTGGCTTTCTGGTGACAAAAATCACCCGTTTAATTCCGGTGTTCTTTATATCAAAAGAAAGGTTGGAGCATGTTCCTATGTGGATGATCCTGTTGGATGTCAGTCATTAATATCACGAGCCATGAACAAGGTATGTTTTTTATGGGGAGAAGAAAAAAAAAAAACTCCTTTTCGCTCCATCTTAACTCGTTTTTTGATGTAGTTATGCCAACATTTGCCTCTTTATCTTTGGGCAGGCATTTAGTTTGACAAGCATGAGAGGTTACACTCCCAAAATCAATAGCGAGCCAAGTTCCAGTAATGTTGATCACCTGGTCAGCACATTTTCATCTGATCCAAGCTTAATTGCTTTTGCTCAGCTTTGCTGCGACTCTTCCTGGAACAGCAGGTAAATGTGTAAATTCGATGATGTAACAATGTGTGTGTGTGTGTGAAAATCACATCTTTATACGGAGTATATTTCTGGGATTGTTATCAAAACTATTCGCTCTCCGACACATGGTACCGTTTATTTAATCTGAAAGACTGCCTCTCTCAGGTCCCTATTTCACTGTCTTAGTTGAGAATATGTGTTATTGGCATTTAACTGCTTGTTTGTCTGGGCAACAGGTCAGATGTTGATTTCCAGGAATTTTGTTTGCAAGTTTTATTTGAGTGTGTTAGCAAGGACAGACCAGCTCTTTTGCAGGTATAGTTTGTCTGCTATTTTTTTCCATACTATAAATCACAGTTGTAGTAGGATAATTTTGTTTGGACTTGCAGCTTATAATTCCATTACCTCTACCACGTTAGCTGGCAGGGTAAATAGTTGTGTGTGTGTGTGTGTGTGTGTGTGTGTGTGTGTGTGTGTGTGTATTGTATTTTAATATCAATAAAGCTGAACACTATGCAGGTCTACATGTCTTTGTATACAATGATTAGAGCAATGACTGACCAGGTTTCAGGCAATATTGTCACCTTTTTTGATTCCCTCTTCATATCTAGCTTAAAGGTAATCTCTTCACTAGACACTGCAGTTTATCGCTCAGTGTTTACTATTTTTTTTTTTTTTTGAAAGAGTTTACTATTTAATATTTATACATTATGGGATTGTTCATAGCCACGTCCTACCCATTCTACTGATTTACTTAGCTAAAAGATTATCAGTTCTGGTTTTCACAGTATATTATCACTTTCTCTACTCTGTCTGCCTTCTCATTCCAAGAAGCTACATTTTGAACTTGCCAAATAGCTTAGACCACAGCTGCAACCTTGCTTCTTGAACATAAATCATCTGCATCTCTTCTTGTACAAGATCAAAATAATAGCTCAGCCTGCTGTAGGGTATTTGATGCCTAGACACTGCTTAAATAGTTGGTGCAAATTGTCTGTTATAATTAGGTGGTTATGACTGTTTTTACACTACATATCAAGCATCCATCCTGGGAGCAAAATCCCTATCCTGCACAGCTTCTCCCTGGTTTGGAGTCCTCTCATGTACTGCATCTTGGATAATGAGTACCTGTTACACACTTACACAGCCCATATGCCCAATAGCTGCTCAATCTTGCTCATTACCCTGGCCTTATTTCCACTTATAAGCTTCCATATTCTCGTCCACCCTGAGCCATCAGTGGATGAGGGAACATGTTATTTCTCTTGTAAACCTGGAGGCACACTTACTTGTCAGGAGTACTCATATAATGGCTTACTAGGCTATGGTATGGAATATGGATCTTTATATGTCATCATGTAATGTGTATATGAATTTCTTATCAATGCAGCTTGTAGTAGCTTACAATGAGGCCTTGCTAAGAGGAAGATTATCCTCTTCAAGAGATGGCATTGTTCAATCAAATTTTCTAGGGTCTCTGAGGAAGCGCGTAGAGGAGCTTTTCAGCTGCTCCCATGAAATGCAAACTGATTTACATAATTACTTGACTTCTGGAAAATGGCCAGATGACAAGCTCCGGGGTAAAAAATGTTCTCTACTGTTGTCTTGGTACCTTCAGTGGTTTTGTGTACCGTCCCCATCTGTAATCCAAACAACTATGGAGAGGTTGAAGCCTAAGCTCAAGAGATCCTCTGCAGCTCCTCTGTTGCGGTTAGTATTTCCTCGGATTCATGTCAGGGTGATTTCTGAGATAGATAAATTATTGATTTCTGGTTAGTTCATGGCTTTTTAAGTATTCCGATGTTGTACTAAGGTATTCACTGTAAGTGTTGAGCCTAAGATGGGTTCTTCCAAAGTTCCAAAGCATTATTGGGGGCTGAGCTGTCCTCTGTACAGGCAGTAATACATATTATGCTTGTAAAATATGTATAGTTTGTTAGGTTTAAGGTAAATTTTCTGTTTGAAACAACGACGAATTTGTTGTTGATTCAAACTGCATGCCTTCTATTTCCGGGTGACCGGGATCAAGAGCCTGACAATGTACATAATCCTGATGTATCTTCGAGTGTAATTTAGGTTATGCATTGTATTGAATGGCCAATGCTGTCGATGTATTCTAGGAAGTAGGAGCTGATGATTTTAGGACTCCTGTCTCCAGATTTGGAGACTAATGTAATTCAACTCTTCAAAAAGAAGCTAGGAAGTTAGAAAAAAATAATGTTACACGAGTATTACATTTTTGGTTGAAATATTTGTCTATTATCAATTTATTATGAAGTTTAGCGTTTATTTTGACTACTCGTAATTTAAATTGCGTGAATTAATAAAAAAAAAAAAGTCAAATCAATCAAACGGAGTACTGAGCACTGTGATTTTCTGAGTAATAATCCTAATAGCTTTAATTATCAGTAAACATTTGAAAAGACTATAATATTGAACTTATTCCTTTATTTATTGTGAGATTAGGAATTTCTGTTTGTCATTACAAAATCTTTGAAATAATCAATATCTTAATCATTTTTAAATACTTGTATAAATTATACAAAAAACTCAAATGTTGTAATTGACTAAGAACAGAGGAAGACTTCAATATCTCTGACGAGACTGTTTATAATAATGTTTGCTTAAGATAGCCATCTTAAAACAAAGGCTCAAGCTCTTGTTTAAAATGTGGACAAATTTTTATTGCATAATAAATAATTTTGCAAAAAGTTTTGCATGCGATGAGTATAGGTTAAAAAAGCTCTTATTAGTATACAATTTTAGCTGATCCTAGCTAGCACCCCAACAAGGCCAGCAGAGTTAGCAGTGGCTGCTTCAGCCTGCTGAAAATCACTTCTATCATCATTATAGTTATCATTCTTATCCGGACCACCTACAATCGCCCCGACTAAAACATTTGGGTTAGGCTGATCCTTGTGAAACCAATCGAACCCGTCTTTACACCCAACTGGAGCCGGATCCTTCTTGATAGACACAATTGAGGCACCTCTATGATGCACCTTTTGTGGGAAGTTTGACCCATAACCCACCATGTAGCTTGCGCTCTTTGGGTTGGCTCCTAATATGTAGTCAACCTAGTAACCATGAAACAAAGGGTTACAAGTAGGTTGGTTAAAGTCTTAGAGGGCGATACCCAAGATCTAGAATGAAAACTCGTCTAAGTTATGAGGTGAATTATACCTGTGATCTAGCAAAAGCAATGAGTTCAGGAGGATTGACCAAGGAAGATGAGCATGTTAGTGATTTTCCCATGGTGGAGAGATAATCAGCATAAACTGTGATGGCTAAAGAAGCAGAAATTGTATATTGGAGATTATTCCATTCATTAAACCATAGTAATCCACCACTCGTCTTGTAAATGTTGCTGCTTCCTTTCTGTATACAATTACACAGAAATTGCTCTGCTTCATCTTTGTTTGCCCCCAAATTTCCACTGCTTGGAAACTTCCCTTCCAAAATTTGCTGCATACGAAGTATAACACAACTGAAATCAAGTCACATCATATTTCTAAGTCAATTAGGACGTCTGGAAGTACCATATACGTAGTATAATAACATACAACGATTGTACTGCATATATTCTTAATAACTATTTATGTCGCGTAAATTTTAAGTACCTTGGCGACAAGAATTTGAGCACCGACGAATTTGTCATCCCACGAGAACATGGATCTAGTACCACCATTACCCTGAAAGCTCTCAAGGAAGTCCTGGTAGATTTTATCTCCAGTGGCTCTTTGTAGCCATGCAGCTGCCCATAATAATTCATCCTGCATAACATTTTCATTAAATTTGTTTCAGTTAATTTCACTCCTATTATTTTTCTTTTGTATAAATACATATATACAAAGTATTTCTTTAATACCTGAAAACCAGTGCTTGAGTAGAATTGTCCTACTGATGGAATACTGTCCGAATATTTTCCTGGGTGACTTTTTGCAAAGTCAAATAACTGTTCACATCCAAACCATTACCATGAAAAATAATTCTTGTAATTTTCTAATTAACCTCTCCAATAATAATAATAATAATAATAATAATAATAATTACTCAATGTGATCCAATCTAATGTCCCCGTTCATTATATGTATATTATAAATAAGGTTTTATAATAAAAATTATGTGATAAAATAAAAAATAAAAAAAAGATTAAATTAGTTACATTTGTTGTAAATAAAGGAGTAGTCTAGTACAAATAGTATAAAAATATTTAAGTAAGATCAAAAAGATAATCTCACAAACAACGGAACAATATCGGTGTGTCGTGATGCAAATCACTAACTTGAAAACGAATTTCGGCGCAACCAAGGTGTTCAATTGTATTCGTCAGCACGTTCCCTAAGGTTAACACACTACTTTCACACAAAGACACTTTTGAGTGGTAGGTTTGAGTGAAGTAACTTATGCCCAATAGATCTTATGCTCAATAAAGAATGTGTTTAGACTATTGTGCGATGTATTTTTCAAGTGTAAAAAAAAAAAAAAAAGCCAATACATAATATGAACATAAAAGATATCTATATATGATTTATAAAAAAATTCCCTTACTTGATTTCAATTCACCAACATTTACTTCAATACTCGTACTATTTAAATATATTTTTCCAATCATTATTGAACATCAAAATATATTATCAAAATATATATTTCCCATTGAGTTTTAATATATATATATGATTTATTTGTGGCACTTAAATTGGGACGGATGGAATATATATTGTCCCTAGTTTTATAATATACTTATTATGCTACATATAAAATTGATCATGCCATATATATATATATATATATATGTGCTATATTGTACTTGGTATTATAGTACCTGTTTTGCATGAGTAACAAGCAAGGATGAATAATTAGGATCAGCATGCTGGAAGGCAATGGAAGCAGCGGCTAGAGCAGCCGAGGTTTCACCAGCCAAGTCTGAGCCAGGGCTAGACTCGTCGATCTTGTAGACCGTCCTTGGTGTGGTCATGTCCTCAGGCCTCTGCCAGCATTGGTGATCAGAGTCCCCGTCCCCAACACCGGCGTAGAGGAGGTTGGGCTGAGGGTGTGCCTTGATGAAATAGTCAGTGCCCCATTTGATAGCAGCCAATGCATTTTGGAGCTCATTTTGGGCCTCAAGTTGGGACCCAAACTCAACTACACTCCATGCTAGTAGGGTTACTGTAAAAGCCATTGGGAGTCCAAATTTTACGTTGTCTCCTGCATCATAGTATCCTCCTACTAGATCAACCTGTCTATTCGATCATAAAAATTTTAACCCAAATTTAACAACAAAAGACGCAAACAACCAAAAAAAAAAAAACATTACTTTTGAAAGGGTACTACCTACGATAATCTTTTACTTGTACTTCATAAAGGAATTTAAATATATTATTACTAAACGTTACATACGCAATTAAATAAATAAAATGTTAGATCTGCTACTGAATAAAAAAAATTATATATTTTTAAACAACAAAATTTAGTTAAACATGCGATGAAAATTGAGAAGGGAATAAAGATGGCATAGATGAATCAATACTACATACACCAGCATCCTGGCCATCCTTCAAACCCGAGTCACCGCGCCATGTAACTCGTTGTTGAGCAGGCAATTGGCCTGATCTTTGAGCTTCATAGTATAGCAAAGAATTAGTTAGAGCTTGTTTATAATCTAAAGATAAAACACCATTAACTAGAATAGACATTAGCGCAACTAGTGGTAATAAGCTGAAATTATTCCTAGTTGATGCCATTTTTTTTTTTTACAATTACTGAGGAGAAAATTGGTATTAGAAATACAAATGAATTACAAAATGCCATGCATTCTCAAAACTCTTATAGATATTTATTGTGATGATCACTTGTACCTCCACTGATTTTGTGCGATATTTATTTCCTCTTCAAAAAGATTTCATGCATGCATATGTAAAGTTTTTATTTTTGTTATATCATACTATTTTTGGCTCTTATTATTTGATATTCTTAATGAAGATCATATAATTTCATAATTTAATTTTCTGCTTCTTGAAAGATATATTGAATAAATTATTCCATACAGTGATCAATTTTCAATAATATCGTCATGATTATATGTATGATAGCCAATGGTTTTAGTCTCTCCTTAAAATCTTTCCTGATTAATCTGATAGATACCATACATATATATGGATCATAAAGGGTGATCCAAAAGATTGCAATTATTTTAAGTCATTTATGTTAGGAGTACATATATAGTTTGGCTTTGATTATATGCAATGACTGTACACTAATTTATTCTAGTCAAAATTCTAAATATTAGACTCACAAACCATTCATGAGATCAAAATAGAATAACTTTGACCATATTTTATGATTCATACTACGTATAAAAGAAAACAAATTAGCATGTGAGACCTTGTTCGATTTGTCTTAATGTAAATTTTCGAGAATTATCCTTTTATAACGGTTAAAACTATTAAAGGTCAAAGATGCACGACATTGACATACATTAGATACTGTGTAAAAGTCAAATGAGTTGAAGTTTTAGGAACAGGAGTATATATATACTGTATACCTTACATACTTTGCTCTTTATATTTACTTTATAGCGTATGTATGCATGCCCCCTTCCGCCCAATACAGCAATATATTTTGCAGAAACTAATGAAATTTGCTAAAAGCAAAGAGAGTGATAAAATTGAGAATAATGAAGATTCAGGAATATCTTTCATTATAAAAGGAATAAATTTGGTCAATATATACATGATTTCAATAACATTTTAATAATGAAATCATTATATACTGGATATATGAATGCATATATATACTACGTATATATTACCAGATCGAACCAATAAATCATACTACGTATTTTGAATTTGATTTCTAATATGCTTAATTGGTGAACGAAGTTTTGGTAGGTAGTACCCTAGTACGTATTCAAGACTTGCAAGTTTCCAAACCACATTTGATACATTATCTTTCTTCTTATTACATAAAATTACGTATTTACAGTAAATGAACATCCATAAAACTTCGAATTGTGAAGCTATAAAATGTCCAAAATTAACGCTTACGTTAGTCGCGTACAAGAGTCACAACACATCCCCAACAATCTATTCAGCAAATTAAAATACATGCCACAATGCAAGAAATTTGGATCACACTGAATAGTCATGAAAATTTCATTGATTTCTTGGAGCAAAGACTCCTCTATACATTTCTCTTTTACCACTTTTTCTTATTGCTTCTTGAATCATATGTTACATTCTCAAATTTCTTTCTTTGCATGCAGGCGATTTTCGCCCTAATCTTAAAAATTAATCAACTAAACATTCTTTTTCCCTTTCTACACAATTGGAATGCAATCTTGCAATCCTAGACATCAATTTTCAATAATCGACGACTCACAAAAATTGGACATTTAGAAAAATAAAAAAATAAAAAAAAAATAAAGAACGTCATGTCACGTGTAGAACAAGAGGTCACGTGTGGCTAGAGATAATTCTAGTGTATAGAAACTCATTCCATGTATCAGGAAGACCAGGGAGGCACCAGTGAATACAATCAGCAAAAGTTTCAGGGTCTGCTTGTTGTTCTGGTGTTAACAATTTTCCCTGTTTAATGGTATGTACCGATGTGTGTGCTTCTTTCCGATACTCCGACAACGACGTTATGTTTAGGAAGCTCACCGGAACCCTTTTCATCGACTGTGTTATGTTGTGTGCGATCCTAAACAGTCTCTTGTCCGTGCCTACGTTCAATGGCATTGACGTGTTCAAGATTGGCGTCGTCTCTAGGGCACATTTTATACCATCAGGGTTGTCCCAGTCCAAACTCCTACAAGAAAAAATGACAAGTACTCATTAAAAATCTGCATATCATTTAGTCATCTTATCGATTACTCCATGCTACCATTATACACGTAACAATATGATTTATGTACGTATGAATTGTGCATATAAAAAATGCGATGTTTATTCTAGCTATGTCAATTGAATAATCAAATACGAAACACATACTTCACTATAAAAGTACTAATTAATTAGTTTGTGTATAACAGATTAAACAGAATAAGATAGAAATTTACTTGATATGAAGAGGAGACATGCTCATGAAGAAAACCGTTGTACGATTAGGATCAATGTTTTTATCGACCCACTTAGACCATGTCTTCAACACCTTTGCATAAGCCACCGGCCTCTCTACCTCATCGTACTCGGTTGCCCCTTCATTGAACGATCCTCGCCTGCTCGATTAATCACCAAACCACCATCATTACTAATCATATTCAATGCATAACTTAATACAGTACTAATCAATCAATATTAAGATTTAAATTGAACCAACCAATACTAAACAATTACTTACAAAACTTTCATGTTAAAAGTGTTCATCCACCAAATGTAAGTGTTGAAGATTAGATAATCTGCATCCTTCCAATTTACACCATGTTTTTTTATTGATTTAGGCATGATGATTCTGTCTAAAATGCTGTGCATTTTTGGATCATCAGAATTTGATTCTACTAAGAATGGTGCCCAATAGAATTCCACCGTAGCATTGTAGTCCTGCATAACACCCAATAACAAAAATTACAAAGAAAAATATTTTCATATCTTAAACTTCAAGCAAAGTTGTAGCAGGAATATACACATCTTCAACCAATATGATTTAAGAATTAAGACTATGGTTGATAAATTGCATGCCATACGGCCCACAAAACATTATTTCATCATATGATAAATTGCATGCCATACGGCCCACAAAATTGCACTTTTATTGATAGTGGGTGACCAGATTCTTACAATATGTAAAAGAAAAAAAAAAACTGTAAATAAAAAAAGTGGTGGTTTTGGTTTGAAAAGAAATGTTGATTACAATTGATTGGAATATAAATTTTCAAAAGTAATTTAACCAATTCTTTTTTAATACTTTGTTTAAAAGTTTTTCCAATTATAATCTTTGGATCCCTAATTTTGCTAATTTACATCATTACATTTAACAGTAATACTTACCACTAATCACATTAATCAAACAGAAATCTCAATAATTTTCTTAATTACCTTAATTATGATACATACTTTTATGTGTTATCTTTCATTATTAATAGCCAACCAACCATAAAAACAAAAATTTATGAACATAATTTGATTAGTTGTTTGGCTTGTATTATAAATAAAGCTGAAAAACCTAACCACCAAAATCACATTATTATTCTGTTTTGAGACCACCGACTTGAGCTTATTCTACATGATTATGACTCATTTATACTACTCGGTCCAAAATAACATTTCACACCACTACTTTACTAGTCATTCAAATTATACTATTGATGTGACAATAAATTACACTATTGACGTGACAATATATTAAATAACGAGAATTAAGAGACAAACCTCGACCCTGAAGATGTTAAACGATCCAGTCTTGACCAAACTCTTCCTACTAGAAGGAACAACAGATTGAACAAAGCACACCATTGATTCCCATTGATTTCTATTTAATGAGTCACCCACAAACATCAATCTTTTATTTCTTAACTTCTCTAGCAATAATTTTGGCTTGAATCTGTCACAATCCACCAACCATAAAAATTCAATAAATGATCATAAATTTAATTATTTAAATACAAACATGCCAAAAAATCATATCATTATAATATAAACATATAAAAAATAACACAAAAATCATATAATTAATTGAGTATTTACAAAATAATAATTCTTACTTTGGCAAATTGCAATCTTTAGGTTGCCATCTCCAATTTTGGTAAGTTGAATCTTTTCTTCCATTTCTCATACAAGTAACTTGTTCAGTGAGAAATTCGCATTCATGTTCCTTATATAACGGGTGTGTAACATTATCAAAAACCCATTGTCCTGTAAATAAATCACATTCTTTTGGAGGTAATTCAATTTCTTCATCATCTTCTTCTTCTTCAACTACAATTTCACTTTCTCTCTCTTCCTTACCACTTTCTCTCACTAAAACTGTCTTCTTTACATCATCATTATCCTCAGAATTCACTTCCCCTGTTTCTTGCTCTGTTCTTGTTTCAATCGAAACATCCTCTGTTTTGGCCTCAATTTTAGCTGAAATTTCTGGGTTTTCCATAATTCGAACTGGGTTTACTTCAATTGGTTTGTTTTCTTGCATTTCTTGAACTTTTTGCTTAGAAAATGGGAATTCTGCAATCGATTTAACATCCTCATTGTACATGAAAAACCCGAAAAGAAGTATCGAAAACACGACGACAAAAACAGAGAGGTTATTGTTTCTTCTTCTGTTTCATTGTATTGTCAGTGGAGAGAAGAAGGAGTGATGATTTTCGACGCATGGGATTGATAGGAGAAAAATGGTGGGTTGAAAGAAACAGAGAAAAACAGAGGAAATATAAAGAAACAGGGGAAAAACAGAGCATCATTTATTATCTTATGATGAAGATTTTGTTATAAAAATTTGTTTAAAGGTTTTGTTTGGTGAGAAGGGTTTGTCTAACAGAAACAACTATTGGGAGAGTTGTCTTTCTCAAGTGGGTTATGCTTATTTCTACTCCATTGCTTAACTACTTTGCACTAACTCAAAAGAAAAAAAAAAATTATAAATAAATTAATAAATTAAAAAATAAAATTAAAGAAAAGGGGGACAATTGTGTTTGTCTGAAGCTTCATCTTTGACAGCATTATGGTCATTTTCTATGAAATTCTTTTCACCAAATTGTGAGAATTAAATAAGTTTTGGTTTGTTATGAAGATTATTTAAAAGGGTAACAAAAATTGAGATTTGTGGTTAAAAGATTGAGGTAATAAAGAGTAAGGGCATCTTTAAGGGTGAACTATTTAATTGTTCACAATGAATAAACAAATAAAGTGGTGGCTTAATGGCAAACCTTTAATGGTTCATGTTGAGTGGTCATGGGTTCGATTGCAGGAGCAAGCATTTCCATGAATTAATTCGCTGTGGGCCCCACCAATATTTTGGACTGGTATTATAGCAAAACGACGTCGTTTTGCTGTTTCATGGTGCAAAACGACGTCGTTTTGCTGTTGAAGCTCAGAAAAAAAAAATAGAAATCAGCGGCTGGGAGCGCGCCACTTGGCCCAGCCGCTGCTTGACACGTGTGCACTGTTTTAAATATATCCGTTGTAATTTTACAACGGATATATTTTACAAAATACAAATCAAAAAAAAAAAAAAAATTACCAACGACTCTATTTTTTTCCCCTCTATAAATAGACACCCATATTGATATATTTTTTTCAACTTTCAAAATTCATTTTTTTCTACTATATTTTTCTCTTCAAAAATCCCCTCTATAATTACCAATATTATTATTATTATTTATACCAATATTAATATTATTATTGTTATTATTATTTTTAATTATTATCATTAATATTATTATTAATATTATTAATATTATTGTTTTTATTATTATCGTTATTATTATTATTATCGTTATTATTATTATTATTATCGTTGTTATTATTATTATTATTATTATTATCATCGTTGTTGTTATTATTATTATTATTATTATTATTATCATCGTTATTATTATTATTATTATTATTATTATTATCGTTATTATTATTATTGTTATTATTATTATTGTTATTATTATTATTATTAAATTTTTATTTTTTCCAAATATAAATTATAATTATGGATGCTAATACCAACCCCAAAACAAATAGAAAGCAAAAAAAAAATCTCATACTGGAGGCAGTTGCGGACAGAGATCTATGGATATGACATTCGTTTTTTGGGATGTCAGGTAGCTGCAACGATATTAATGTGCTTCATCGATCCCCTGTGTTCGAAGACGTCTTAGAGGGTCGGACACCTCCTGTCAACTTCGTAGTCAATGGTCATCATTATACGAATGGGTATTATCTTACTGATGGAATCTACCCTAGATGGGCTTCTTTTGTGAAATCCATTACGAGTCCACAAACTCATAAGGATCGTTTATTCGCAAAACACCAGGAAGCTGCAAGAAAAGACGTTGAACGTGCATTTGGGGTCCTTCAAGCTCGTTTTGCCATTATTAAAAAGCCGTCTTTGGCGTGGGATACCGACATACTCCACAATATCATGCTCGCCTGCATCATAATACATAATATGATCGTTGAAGATGAACGAGAGACGTATCAAAATAACGTTAATACCAATGAGTTTATGAATGCTGGAAGGAACGCTAATGAGGACACTACCGAGTACCGTACTGATCGTATTGTGGATATCGGCTTATACTTGTCTCGTAGAACAGAGATTGAGGATCAACAGACTCATTTGCAGCTAAAAAAACGACTTGGTCGAACATATATGGAATAAATTTGGTAACAACGAAAACTTAGGCAACTAGGTTTACAGCAAATGGTTATCCCTAAGGACATCTTACAAAACGATGTGTAGTTGTGTTTTTTTTTTTAAATAAAATGTACTAGATTATAGTTGTAGAACTGTAATCACGATTTGTACCTCCTTTTTTTTATGTTAATTAAAATTAGCTGCGTTGTTGTTTAAAAAATATTAATCACAAGAATTAAATTTTTAAAAAGCTGATAAAAAAACGCGATAATTTCTTAATTAGTAATCACGATTAAAATATTAAATACGTCAATTAATTACATTGACATCGGTTAATAAATTATAATTATGAAACAAAAAGATTATATTTACAAAAATAAAATAAGGTGGGGTAGGGAGTATTGATGATGAACCATTGTTTAGTGTTTATTGTTAAGAGTGAATATTGTAAATGGTTTGTTGGGTTGATGTGGATGAGAGAGAAATGGTGATAGTGACCCATGAACCATTTTTTTTTGTTCACCAATAATGGTGCTCTAAAGACTGTGGGCCTTAATAAATTAAGAGCCTAGTATGACAAGTGAAGCATAGCACAAGACAAGACTGTGGGCCTTGAATTTTAGTTTTGTTTTCTTGGATGGCCTAAATGTTTTAGGTAAACAAACTTAAAACATTATATGGGGATTATTTAAAATTTATTCAAGGCAATAAAAAAATATGAGTATGAGCATATTTTATGTTTATGAATGATAAAAAATTTCTAAATTTCTAAAATATATGTGAGCCACCAAGTTGAGAAAGAAAATTACCCTTACTTCATCCTTCTTTATTTTATTTTTTAAAAAAAACATAGAAAAAGATCCTTATTTGTTTAAATTCGTGTTGGGAAAATTTTGATATTTTTTTTCTTTTTTGAAAATGACTCATGTTATGTTGACAGATCATTATTAAGTTAAAGTAATTCATTAAATGTCTGTTTAATTATACATACATATCAAAGTTAGAGCCAACATAGAAGTGGATGAAATGCTCATATTAAAATTATCTTTCTTACCGGTTTTATTGAATTGTATGCACGGGGATCAAGAACTAAAACCCTAAATGCATCTCATCTTTCGTGTCTGTAATGAGATGAGATGTCAAAAATTTTGGCAAGTGTCATCTAATTATACTACTCCATAATATACAAAGAGTACAAGTGTGTTAACTTCTAGTAGAAAATAAACAAAGCACAAAGTATATCCCAATAAGTACTTATTGCTAATTATAAGTGAATTGATATTTCAATTTGCTAAGTGATTTGTAGATATTTATAGTTTACCAATGAAAAGAAATTACATTCTAAAGGAAGATCTTATTACGAAGCATAAAATTTTGGATACTTATATATATACTAGGTCTAATCTGTTATTGTTATAGTAAAAAGATACTCGTAGATTTTAATGGACTAATAACTCTTAAGGAACATGGGAGTTCTTGGTGGTATGGAAAATTGTCATCCCAAAAACCGTCATTAGTAGAGATTGAACCTTCATAAAGCTACAATATAGAACTCCTACCAAGTACTACTTGGTTACTTGTACATTGTACTTGTGTTCTACCACTACAACACTATGCTTAGAATGTACACAAGTAGCTAGCAACTTATACCATAAGTAGTAAAGAGTACATACAAAAAAGACTAATTAGATCAAACAACGTTATTAATTGCTAGTTGAGGCATCATTAGTCAAAATCACTTGAAGCTTTGAGAAATGATTAGGTTGAGGAACTAATTAACCAAACTTAAGTTTATTACTAATTAATAATGAGTAGCTTTCTATTTGAGAAAAGTAGAAACTAAGCTAAAACCCCACACCTTTTTTCAAAACTATGCGTAGTCTAGTAGTACACCAACAAATGTCTTCTTCTTATACTTCGACCATTTGCCTACTTTATTGTTTACTCCCTCGTATACTTGGTTCACTCTCAATTTTTTAAGGATAAGTATTGCATCTCTTTTATTCCAAGGCAAGCAAATTATTTGTACATTGAAAATCCATTATATATAAAGAGAATATAGTTAGTTGTATGTTAAATCAATCACCAGATTAGTGGTTGCTAGATTTAGGTAAATGAAGAAATTAAGTCATTAACTATTATTGGATTCCTAGGATTATAAGATTGAATTACTTAATGGGATTAATTTTGATAGGAAAATAGTTCATTAAAATTGACATATATGAAACATCCTTTTCCAAATTAAGGGTAACATTATAAGCCTAATGTTTAGGTCTTGTTTAATTCGCCTCAATTAATCCACTTATTTCAATATATGTTCAATTTGGGATAAGTTGAAGAAAAAAATAAGTTTATATAATAAAGGCTACAAAAGTTCAACTACAAGTAAAATAAGTTTTTATTAGTTTTAGTTCAGTGAAGTTATGTTCAAAAAAATGTTTAAGTTCAAATAGGTTGAGGTGAGTATGTAAAACACACCATCCATTCTTTTCACCTAAACATGAATCTATTACCATGATTATTAGGAATTACCAATACATACAAGTATGTTAGTTGGGGACTAAATTATAATAACCATTACATTATTTTAGAATTTTGTAGTTTTCATATATCCGGACTTATTTTTCCTTTTTAAAGTGTTTTTTTAATATCACAAAAGAATTGGCGACCATGCTTTTGATGCAGAGAGTGTTTTTAATAAGATAGGTATTTTATATTAAAAAAATAAGATAGGTATTGTTAGTACTTACGGAGTAGCTTGTAACTTATATATACTCCATAAAGAAACACAGCTTTTACCCCGAAGCATTTTAACCGCAAAAATCAATAATGTAGAAGCTTGTTTCTGAGTGACCAGTTGCCACCAAATTGATAATCACCTGATCAATTTGATCATCATCTTTATAAGTTTATAGCTATCAATTTGATCAAATGAAGGAAAAAAAAAAAAAGAATAAGTAGTTCATACAAGCCAAAGACAAACATATATGAACACAATAGCTAATATTAATACAATATCTATTTGGTTTTGTCACCAAAAAAAAAAACACTTGCAAAAAACAGCTTCTAAATGCTTATACTTCAAATTCATCTCATATTGGTACAAGTAGTACCATATGGAATCATCAAACAACCAATTTTCCCAAAGAAAAACAGAGCAAGGCCTTCCTGTAGTACCTATTTCCATCAAAAGAACAAAAAATAAATCCGAATTGTATAGTAAAAAAAAAAAAACATGCAAATGCAAGGTAGATCCAAGAACAATGTAGGCCGAATCAATCAATAACGCGATATCTATCAAGAGGGTCTTTAAAGTGAAGTCGTTCATGGTAAACTCTCCAAGCATAATCCTCGAAAGAAAATGAGTTAAATACCCTCCGATCCTCTTTACCATCATTAATATTACCATGGTTGGTACTAATACTAGGCTCAATGCTTAGAAGATCATTATCACTGTTGTCACCTTCCTTATTATCTTCATCTTCTGGTTCTAATGTTTCCTTTTCGCGGTTGTTGTGGTCCATGGACTTGTTAAAGATGTTCAAAAAGGGTGAGACAGTGCTCTCAAGAGGAAGGGTGAGTAGCACTGTCATTGATATGCAAGGCAAGCTTGAGTTTGCATCATCCAAAACCGGAGCCGGTCTTCCTCTCACTTTCTTTAGCTTTCCATTGCTCCAAACCTGTCAATTCTATCAATATTAGGTTGCTTCCTTAAACACTTGCATATTACTATATCTAGAAAAAATATTGTGGTAAGCCTGACTTATTTATTATTTGACTAATTACATGGAAATTTCTTCAATGCATTCAAATAGATAGGAGGGAGCTCATATAATTAAGTGTGCTGAAGTACATATCCAGTTATTATTCAAAAAACAAAAAATATGTATGTATCTAGTCATTATCTATCACTTACATACATACCAATATACCATTAGACTTGCCCTCGCTCATATCATGGTCCAAACTCGGCTATCCTATTATTCATACTCCAATGTAACACTCTACCATATTACATTTACACTAGTCCAATTTAAACTAGAGCTCATGCTGATAGTTTTACGGCTAATCAATAGATTTGAATGGGATCATCACCAAAAACACTAGTTGCTCTAAACTTCAAATGACTCGTTCGATCTCATGTCAATACCCATGGTAATGAAACTCGATTGATCTCCAAGTACTTGCAAGTACTCCAAGTGTGTTTTTCTTTATAAATTGTCAATTAGTCTGAAAGTTGTTATGAACATACATAATGTACTGGAAGTTTAACCCAGTTACTCTGTACAGAGTATTACCTTTCTGCAACCAGTAAAAATCAGAGTACGTACAACATATCATCTGGTCACAGACTCATCACAGTACATCAACATATCACCATTTTAGAATAATCCAACAAGCTGAATTTATTAGAGCTATACTTACTAAAAAATTATTTACTTTGTTAATTTTATCTTGGTACTAAATACTAATACATTGTATTGAAACCTGAACTTATTAGCCTTAGTTTAAATTAAAGAAGGAAGCCCATTAAAGATATATGTTTTATACGACATTACGACCCTATGCACCTAAGTAGCCAATTTAAAAAAATCAAACATTAATAATATAAATTGACACGTTATTTGTCATATATGAGTATCATTTTAGTAAATACTTATAGTTGGCTTCTTAAGGCAAGAGATGTTGCAACTGTAAATCAAATCATATAACACACCCAACAAAGTAATGTGTAATTAACAAATCATACTATACCTTGTTCTTATTAACAAAAATTAACATCAACTGAACTACAATAATATAGCCTGATATAATCTGTATCCCACTATTTTGATCATTAATAAGATGCTAGTCATAAACATGTAATTGTAATTATAACCAATAAAAATCATGGATTCATAGTTGGCTAAAGTGGAATTACATTAAATAAATGAAAATGACATACACTAATTGACAACAATTATAATAATTAATTAAATAAAATATTTTGACGTATGTACCTGAGCAATGTCACCAAGCGTAACCAATACAGACCCAACCATCGGCTCCACAATGACCGAACCAGAATCCGACAACAAATCCAACTTCCTTGCTCTAATCTGGTACTGCAACCCCACCACATACGGGTACACCTCCCTCCCTTTCTCACCGTACGATCTTGTTGATGATACCCACATCAACGTACTATATTGTTTGGGCTTGTGGCCCACCTCTTCACCACCTCTAAACGGGTTCTGAAGCCCAACTGCACTAGCCACCTTCTCCACCACCTCCAACCCCACCTTCTCCAACTCACGGGTCAGCTCTCTCAAACTTGCTAAACTTAACTCGGTATTATAAGTACTAGAGCATTCTCCATCCAAGCAAAACGACCCCGTTTTATGATCATCATCTTCATCATCGTCGTTGTCGTTGTTGAAGCCGAGAGGCCATTCATCAGGGAAGGAGCTAAGTTTAATGTCGAGTGGTAGCTCGAAGAGTGAACGCGAGTCCGACTCAGCGGACTCCGCGAGTTGAGGGGTGATAGAGTGGTGGGTGAGTTGGAAGTAGCCGAGTTCAAACGAACTACGACTACTACTAAATGATGTGGAGGAGAGAGAAAGTGTAGGGAGAGGTTGTTGTTGTGGTGATGATGATGACGACTTGGCAGTGCCACGTGGAGATAGACGAGTGGGGAGAGAGAGGTTAGGAGGGAGGCGGTGGAGAAGGCGAGAGAGGGTGTCAGCTGCGGCGGAGTCTGACGTGGAGGAGAGAGATGGTGGTTGTAGGGTTGAGGGTGTTGGTGGTGGTGCTGAGGTGGGTGTGGGTGTGGGTCCGCCGCCGTAAAGGTGGTTGAGGAGATGACGTGGAATATGTTGAGTAGAAGATGAGCTTGCCATTTTTGATTGATGATAGAGTATAAAAACTATGAATGTAGGAGGATGTTTTTCTTTGGTATAGAGGAGTAGAAAGAATGGTGATTATGGTGTCAAGTATTCAAGGTGTTTATACTAGTTGTAGTTATTACTTACGTGGAATACATTGCATAAAATAAAATACCTATCTTATCATAAAATAATTAAGGGATTATAGATTTATAGATTATGGTGTCAAGTATAATGCATGCACACCCTATATACTATGATGGTCAATGTATCCGGCTACTTCTATTAACACGCTTGTTAATTTTTTTTAAATGGCAAGTATGAATTAAATCTCTAACACTTATAGTTTTTTTATTCAGTATTTAAGGTCAAAAACTTATAAATAGGGGATCGGAAAGCTAAGAAAATCCACACCTTTAAACATCCTTACTTGATAAGATTTGAATCTCGAACCTTAAAACCTTAGTACGTGAGTCAAGTCTTTATTACTCGTAAGTTTAACACACTTGTGATAGAAGACAAAAGACGCACGTAATACTAATATTCTCTGTATACTTATTAATTAAAGAAATTCTGATTAGTACCATTTTTTTATTGTTAACATAAATCATGTACTTAATGATTTAATAACAGAGTCAAATTAAATGTTGTTAATAAACTAAAATAACTGTTGAGTTGTTGACTTATTGTACTTGATTGCGTGACTTGCATGAGATATTAGACAAGAAATGATATGTATTATCTTCATACTTATAGAATGGATGTATTAGGCTTAGCGTATAGAATTAGTTTTTTGTGAAATTTCTGCTTAAAGATAAGTAGGTATCAATGTCACTTGACATAGAATTATATTACTAAAAGTATAATTAATCTTTTCGGATAAAGTTAATTATTAAATTCATACATCAAAACATACATTCTTCACACAAGAGAAAGTGATTACAAATAAAAGGTTATTCAAAAAAAAAAAAAAAAAAAAAAAAAAGTGTTTAGGAGTTCAATAAAGCCTGAAGGGAATAACATGCAACTACTTTTAACTGAGATTTTGCGAACAACGAAATCACTTTTGTGGGGTGGTTTTATTATATTTCACAATTCTATATTTCGTATTTAGTAAATAAATAAATAAATAAAAGTATATGAATAAGCATAATCAATTGATTAGTAGATTAAAATGGCAAACAGAACACCGTGTTTCAGGAAATGGAGGAAAAGAAGGGTCATGTGTGTGATGTGTATCACTGTACCAGCACATTTGACACCCACAAATTTACAATTAGAGTAGGGTTATGCCAACAACTATATCAAATTATTATCCATAAATACTTGTTTAAGACACAATTAGAGTTTGATTGGGCGACCTTTTATTAAAGTTTTGCTAAACACAATCATCAGAGATATCAACAAGCAATTAAACACTACGGAGTACCAAGTATATATTTCTCAAAAAGGTTACTCTACAGTCGACTACATACGGAGACACGGAGTACTAGTATTAGTTTGTATCCAATCAGGATTTTCATTTAAAAAATGTGGATTCAAATTTTTCATAAAACTAGGGTGGCTAACGGGCGCGCCATAGTTAGTCATATCCAAGAGCTTTTCAATAGTTGGCAATATAATGAGGGTAATTATATAAACAAATATTTTAAAGGTATAAATGCCCGCATACTATTCTTTTAAGAGCGAAAAATAAAAATAATTAACATTAATAAAGATAAATAAATAATAAAAAAAAAAAATTAAGTTCGATAGGAACAAGAAAGAGTAAAATTTTTAAAAATGAAAATGGTGAAAAGCAAGAATTAGGCACCTCAGGTTACGAGGGAATTATCTGTGGCTTGGCTGATGCAAACATTGACAAGCATGTGCTGCCAACACCCCCACCTGCCACTGCATCTGCTGCAACCTTGGTACATACGGATTATTACGGAGTAATTCATTTGTTTCTCTGCGCTTTTTGTTTTTCAGTAATTCATTCATTGTCCTCTGCTATCTCTTATGTTTCATGAAATGATCTTAGAACTGTTTATTTAACCTCTATGTTCACCCGGAGGAATGTCATACAAACCCGGGGGCGGGGAGCGGCAAAAAACTCCAATGAGGCTATGATAGCTTGTGTGCTCTATTGGTCACAAAAAGTGTTGTCAAAATCGGGTATGTGATCGGTTTTAGTCAAGTTGGGCCTAATCAAATTGAGTCATGCTAATCGAATTCTAAATTGGGTCTATTAATTAGATCACTTCAAGTTTGGCCAGGTCGTTCTTGGATTGGGTCATTGACAGTCTTACTACTTACTGTGCACTATATAGGTTCAATCCACATTGCAAGCTGGGTATAGGTAAAAAACCTTAGAAGTAAAAAATACAGCCCAATATGGTTCACAACAGCTAAAAATGTAAAGAAGAAAAAAAAAAAAAAAAAAAGGACCCAAAATCAACCATACATGCAGTGATGCAGCCACTCGAAATTCATGAAGCGTGTACAACAATCATACACATTACACTTTCGAGTGCGAAGATAGGAAAAATAATCAAGCAACAAAATATATTGCTCTCTAATTTGAAGATTCAAAAAATCAATGCACTAAACAATTCTGAAGATTAGTAGTTTTTTTTGCTACTAACAGTATAACAGTTTACTTTTGTCACATAATTCAGAACAATATTAAGATTCAAAACTGCAAGTATATAATTAAACCCAAAATCATGATGGGAGAAAAAAAAAAAAAAAAAAAAAAAAGTGGGCTCATGAGCTAAAAAAGTAAATTTGTTAACTCTCTCAATTCATTATCTGCCTTATCTAGCAAGCAAACGTCTGCAAGCTCACAACTTCAAAGCTGCTTTTGCCATGGCAAGAGCACCCTCATAGGTTGTATGTCCACCAATAAAACCGCTCATATGCACAAAAACACCTCCAGGGATGCCGCATCCCTTGGATAAATCATCATCCCTCAAACCTCTCCATGATTCTGGAAGAGCCTTCCTGCTCTCAAATCTATCAGGGGCTACTGCCACTGCCTGGATTCTCCAGTGTTTGCTTCGGTCATCCTACCAAATAGTAATAGTATTACTAAAAATGCACTTCAGACTGAATTAGTTTTAAAATAACCCTGACTTACACTTGAAAAGCAATTTTTATTAACAAAGTTTGATGTTCCAAAGAGGTGATTTCATATAGACCAAATTCTATATAATTATCAAGCAATGTTCAGCAGGCCAAGTCAAAGGATAGACTAGAACAATTGTTAGTACTTTCTTAGGAAGATGGTAACTCTGCCATACCTGGTAAAGAACATATTTGATGGGAGGATCAATCTTCATTTCCTGCTCAAGCTCAAATAAATGGAGTTTCCACTGCAAGGTAAACACATCACATACATCAGATAGAAATTCCTAGTTTTCTGTAACTGAACTTTCCTGCTCAAGATAAGACAGCTTCATAATAGAGTTATTCTAGTTTATGGTCCTTTATAATGAACTCGTGCAACTGCGAATCAAGGCCATCATATATCCTTTTGACAGTGATGGCTCACATATAATTGAGTAATTCCCACCGTTCAAATCTAGACTACAAGTTTCTCCAACAGGAACTTGGATTGAACGAAAGATTAAACAAAGCCAACTCTGTTTTAGCATTATTGACTCCAAGTCGCCAAATATTTCAGGTGCTCTTAAAAGTCGAAACTCTTAGGGAAAAAGCATGATACATGGTAGTAATTATCTTTAATCACAATGGTCAGGGATAAATTTGATGAGCACTTAAAGCGGGAAGTGGAGCTTACTCACTGTTTCCTCTCCAAGGGTTTTAACTCCCATACATATTGTGCAACACAGGGTTGATGGACTTACTTACTCATGATCATTAAGAAATAAATGTTCATAAGATCAAATCTTAATGATCAGGTTGCATCTAAATGAATAATCTCAAAGTATTAGTTAGGAGTATTATTTGCTGATCCAGACCATTGACATAATTGTGAATCAGCGCAACATGACGACAAAATTCAGATTATTTGCAAGTAATAGATAATGGAGATAAAGATTTGTAGAACTACTTACTGGGCAAAATCTATCCAAGACCAATATCTCTCCGCTAGGGTCGACATCTTTTCTTGCTGACAGACACTCCACAACAATGGATCGAGCTGGCAACCATGATTTTGCAAGAGATCGGAGATTCTGATAGCCAAAAGATGTTCAATGTCAAAGCATACTTGAAACATGTGACAGCTCAAATTCCAATATTTCATAATGGGCAAGCGGCAACAACTAAGCATTAAAAGGGTAAATTACAATTCAAGAATCTTACATCCAAAAACTCGCGACCAGCTAGATTCATTGCTCTCTCAAAGGCTTTATTTTCGTTCTCAGATGATTGATCAGGATCTGTCCAGTCCAAATTCAGTTTTCCAACTCTCGAAGACAAATGAGTGTTGTTGACATATCTTGGCGGCTGGTCAGTGTCGTACTGATTAATTCCATTATCAATTGCATCAATAGCCTGCATCAATATCAGAATATTTTATAAATGAGTCAATACAACCTCAGCTTGTCAAAGGCATCAATTTTCCCATGTCTGGATGTAAATTTAGAGAGAGTGATAAAAAAATTCCATTTTCTTTACCTCTTGAATGAGATAAATCCATCCAGAAGATAGAAGGATTGATAAGTAAACCCCCCCCCAAAAAAAAAAAAACAAAAAACAAAAAAAAAAATCCTCCTCTTCCCTCTCTTCTCTTCAGTCCAACATACATAAATCAAAATACAATCTGAAATCTGAATGTCTTCGGACTAGTAAAACTCTACAACATACTAGAGAACAAGCGAGATGAATCCTTCCAAACGATAGAAGGATTGAAAAGTAAATTTCCCCCTCCCCAGGCTCCCCCCCTCTCTCATCCTCCTCTTCCCTTAAGTCCAACATATTATTAATCAAAATACAATCTTAAAGTCTTCAAGCTAGTAAAACAATACAACATGCTAGAGAACAAGCAAGTTAAGCAGACTAAGACAACCCCCCCCCCCCCCCCCCCCCCAAAAAAAAAAAAAAAAAAAAAAAAAAAAAAAAAAAAAAAAAGAGCAAGCCTCTGTCCAACATATTCCAATTCAAATACACACTCAAGCTTGTAGAACATAGTGGAGCAAAAGCAAGTTAACCAAACCAAGACTGAAAACCTCAGAGTTGGCCCTGAATCTTACAAATGCTCAATAGGTCTGATAAACAAGGAGCATCCTCCTAGAATTCCTTTACGGCATGAATTACGTATTTCAGAGCCTCCACCTCCAAATCATCTAAGCCCTATGGCCACATAATTCCATCGTCTAAATTTGAACCAAAATAGATGCAGTGTACTAACAACAGTATAGCTTAGCAGAGTTGGAACTTGTTACACATAATAAAAAAAAATTTGAAAAATAAATTGAAAAATAAATGTACTATGCAAATACAATACTTGAATACAATGAACTCTAATGAAGGAGAATCCAAAAGAACATTATTACAAATACTTAGTACACTAATTGGAGCATTACACAGCAATCTAATCTAATCTAATATATATATAAATAAAGTAGGCATTTTTAGAGAGCATTCGGAGCGCCACGTAAGAAAGAAATATACTTATTTCGACCAATAAGAAGAAAGATTTGTATTTTATTTTTGAATTAAAAAATTATGTCGCCACCTAGATAAAAGTAACGAATTAGATTTGATATATCTAAATTTTAATGCCACGTAGATTATAATCTACGAATTAAATTATTTTAATGAAAAAAAATAAAGTAAAAATATAGGAAAAGATAAATTTATTAATTTAATACTACGAGTATAAAAAATCCAAAAAAAAAAATACTAAAAAATATTTAAATGATAAACGCTTATAATAAAGTTTGATACCTATCATTATAAGATAAATTTTGATAGTTTATGATAAGAAATACAAATTGTTCGTTAATTATAATTAAATTAAAATTTGTGATACCTACCATTATAAATTGACACATCATACGACACAAACAAAATTTCGTATTAATAAAAAACACCATCAAGCGAATTTTGTGTTAGTAATTTTGTGTTAATTTTTTGTCATCAATGACCGGGTAATTTTTAGCTTAATTTTTAAAACCCTATGTTTAAATTAGTATTTCTAATTATTACTTATATTGTATTAATTTGGGATACTCAACGATTATATGTTTATGTTTTATTTACTAAATGTTTTTTTACATGCAGATCTAACACATCATACGACACAAATAAAATTTCGTATCAATACAAAACTCCATCAAGCGAATTTTGTATTAGTAATTTTGTGTTAGTTTTAGGTCATCAATGTCCTAGTAATTTTTAAAATCTTATGTTTAAATTTATATTTGTAATTATTAGTCGCATTGTATTTATTTAGGATACTTAACGATTATTTGTTTATGTAATGACATACGATTCGATGTTGTATACTTAATATATGGATGGCTTTGGTTATTTTTAGAGATGATAAAAAAATTCCAATGCATAAATTTGATTTTATATCGCAACAAATTTTCATTTATTGGTAAATATATTGAGTTATTTTATATAAATGTAAAGATTTAATTTATATCAATTTCAGTTTGGCTAACCTTTCACGGTTCAATTTATCCATTGATGTAATAGGTTGGTTGTGGACGAAGTTGGTGATTCTATCGAAATAAAAGATATGGTAAAACAATGAATAATGATTTAAGATTTAAATTATTAAAAATTTATCATTTCACATTAAAAATTTTATATAAGAGAAAAAATTATCATATTTACATTTTATTTATATTTAATAAATTCATTATAAATTATAGTAAAAAAATATATTAAACTTTTGTAATTTTGACTTAAATTATTAATTACAATAAATCAAATAATTAAAAATCTTAGATGAAAAAACCGTGCATCACACTTCCATCTAATACTTATAATTTGGAGCAAAAGTAATCAACTATCAATGCACATAATCAACATAGATGTATGAACACTTATTTCCAACATCTCATCCAAATGGATGACCAATAACCAACATGAATACTTCATACATCTAATGCAGGAAAACATCACTAGTTAACAATAATATTCATGTTAGTTCCACACTACAAGCAACTCGAACTTTACCAATCAAAACTCTTCCACAAAAAGAAATGCCATAATCAAAACATCACTAGTTAACAACAATTCAACAATATTTGATCAATAGAGCCTGTAAAAATTATAAATTTAATAAAAGGCAAAGGTACAAACCTCCATAAAGTTCCTATAGACAGCAATAAACAACCGAAATACATCTTGGTGCCCTTCATCAAGCCTCAATTCCTTTGCAATTATCTCCATCCCAAAATGCTACATTAAAATAATTACAAACATCAAATCAAAACTATATTTCTTCAAAAACCGAATCCCAATTCTTCAAATCAAGTTTACTCAAAATTCAGATTAAAACAATTGAATTAAATTTAAAATTACCTTGTAGACAAGACCAGCACTACTAAGCTTAGTATTAAACCCATGACCAAAAACCTCTGCAAAACCCTTTTGATGATGATCATATCTATCATTACTTGGATCATACACTCCTCCTACATCCAAAACTGCATCCAATGTCTCCAAAAGCTGCAAAAATTTTAATTAATTTAAATGAAATCCCCAAAATAATTGTAAAAATCAAATTAAAATAAAATTCCAAAAAGGAGTTTAAGTGAAAAATTAATACAAACCCACCTGGGGATCACGGGTTCGAACAATTTCAGCACCGGAAAATTTGTCGGAGAGACGAATCATGAAGCAACCAAGAGCTTCGTCGCAATGGAAGCTGCCATTGTGGGTGCCAACGCGCTTGAGCTGAGCGTTAATGGGGGAACCAGTTGAGAAGGTGGAAACCCTAGAAGGTGAGAATGCCATGAGAGAGAAAGAAGAAGAAGAAGAGAGGAGAGAGAAAGAGGTGAGGAAAGGGAAGAGCTTGCGACTGCTTGTATTAAACCCTCCTCTGCTTACTGAGAGCATAAACATGTCCTTTCCTCTGCCCTTTTTGCTACTTTGTTGATCTTTTGTTTAGTTTGGTTGTGTAGGACTCAGCCTAGGAGGGTATGACCGAACGAGGGATGCCCTTTTGGTTTCCATTGCGGAGCAGTAACTAAAGAGATGGCCCTTACGACACGACACAATTAATTTTGAGTTGATTGAAAAATATTTGAACTTGATATTATACAACAGAAATTATTCTGGTTAAAATTCTACATTATTTGACTTGTTAGTCTTATATTATTAGTACTCCGTATTTAATTATCTCTAGGATGTTTTTTGTACGTATATAATACACAAGATCAAACACAAATACAACTTGTTTACTCGAATTCCTAACTCTCTAAATTGAGGAAGACCAATTATTTTTGAAAAAGTCAATTACAAAAAATTGATAATTTATTTTAAGAATTAAGCTATAGTTATTGATATTATCCTTTGCTTAGTAGGATTTGAATCCTAAACTAAGCGACTAGTGTTTACGTCTAGTAAGGGTTTTCCTTAAGATATTGTTGTTGGATTATTTAAAAAAATAAATAAATAAATAAATAAATTTCAGTTAAGTGGTCCATTTATCTTGGTAATTAGTTTCCCATGATCAAGGAAACTGATTATCATTAGTCCAACCACTAACCCACTTCTATAGAACCACCATAACCAACTCATGAATAAGGGGTTTTTGATGGCAAAACTCCCTATAAATGTAGACAGAAATTGTGAGTGTTTTTCATGAAATGGTCACTGCATCCAACTCTCAAATAACAAACACCATCTAAGTGAGAGTGAGGGTTCAGCACCAGAATTAAAAGGTAGATCAAATTCGATTTCGGCGCCGCAACGAGGTTGTTCATCTTCATCTTCCTCGAAGTTTCTACAATGGTTGGAGGTAAATTTTACACTTTAACGCTTCCGCAATCATAAATTACATGTTGTAATTCAAGCTAATGAGAATGTTATTGTTTATGCATTAATTAACATTTAGTATCAGAGCCATGTTCATTCTCTTCCTTGCTTAATCAAGTATACATTTTTGCCTATGTCGTGTAATTGAATAATGGTGTTGCAATTATATTTTGCCTCTACTGTGTATTTTGGATGATGGTGATGCAATTTATGTATTTACATATCTATATAATTTATGCATTTATAAGAATGTGCTCGTACAAATTAAGTATGCATATACTCTGTAATTCAACTTAATTTATGTATAAAATGAAAACGAGTGATAATAATGATAATACGAGTAACAAAGTTATTTTGGAATTTGACTGGAGTATGTCAGTATGTAGATGATAATTTTTGATATGTGGCATTATTGTATTGGTTACTACGGAGTATTTTGAAGGTTTTGCAGAGATGGGTGCAATGTATCAGAGACAGAGTTGGACCTATTTTCGTGCATAATTAATTAACTTTTATCTTGCTACATTATTAGAGTATGTGATTAATTAAAATAAAAGGGGATTGTATTAATGCGTCAGTGCGTAAGAGTGCGTGACCTTGTATTTTGTTTCTTAATTTGCATACTTTATGATACATCATTGTTTAAGAGTTTATTTTAGTAGTCTGTTATTCATTTTGGAGCAATTGAATAATGAATTAAATTATGTAAATGTCAAGTGTGTTAAAATTTTATTAATTGGGGTAGCCACAATACCTCTATTTATTAAAATTTTGTTTAGTAATCACATGTGGAAACTAGACATTTGTTGTAATTAATCCTCTATGATATGATAAGACTTACCCACAGGAATTTTATTATATTAGAGAATGATTAATTAGAGTGAAGTGTTAAACTTTGTTTCTTAAATGTCCCACGGGAAATTAAGAAATTGATACAATTAAATAACTTCACCATATGATTATTATATTCATCTAATTGAGTAAAACTTTAGCCCACAGGCAAGTTTTATGTCACTAGATACATATATCTTATGCATTATTTACATTGGTAAAGCATAAATTTTGTTTAAAGTCTATATTGATGTTAAGCATTTTTATTTTTATTTCTCCTTGCAGTAGTTTTACCTGGAAATATTTCTGATGTCAAATGTGACATTCCTGAATTAAGGGGTGATAACTATAAGGTGTGGAAAGAAAGAGTGCTACTGCAATTGGGATGGATGGATATTGACTATGCTGTTAGGAAAGACGAACCACCTGTTGTAACGGAGACTAGTACTCCAGATGCAATTAGTCTTTATGAAAAGTGGAAGAGGTCCAACCGTCTCTCAGTTATGTTCATAAAGATTAAAATATGTGCTAGTATACGTGGTTTTGTCGATAAGCATACTAATGTTAAAGAACTCATTAAGGCCATCGATGAGCAGTTTGCAACTTCTGATAAAGCTCTTGCTAGCACCTTAATCATGCAGTTTTCATCCATGAGGCTCATTGAGACCAAGGGAGTGCGTGATTACATCATGCGCATGAGGGATATAGCAGCTCAACTTAAGGATCTGGAAGTTACCATGTCCGAGTCTTTCCTAGTGCATTATATTTTGTGCACTCTTCCTAATTAATACGACCCTTTTAAGGTCTCTTACAACACACATAAGGATAAATGGTCAATTAATGAAACATTCGTTTGTTACATTCAGTTTTTGATATTTCTTGCATTTTTGTACGTACAGTTGGATTTTTTGGTTAATTCAATAAGAAATTTCGTTTTTGTTTGACCTAGAGTGAACATAAGGTTTACTCGTTTAGTTGTATGAGTGGTGGAAAACTAAATATATTGTGATACATGGAAGATTAGTTCTCGCTATTAGGGAATTCGTCGCTATGATTCATTTGGATTATTTCATAGCGACCAAGTGGGAGAAGGTTTACTCATTTGGATTATTTCATAGCGACGAATTCCCTAATAGCGAGAACTAATCTTCCATGTATCACAATATATTTAGTTTCCACCACTCATACAACTAAATGAGTAAACCTTATGTTCACTCTAGGTCAAACAAAAACGACATTTCTTATTGAATTAACCAAAAATCCAAATGTACGTACATAAATGCAAGAAATATCAAAAACTGAATGTAACAAATGAATGTTTCACATGACGGAACCAAGTCCCATCCTTTGTACATGACCCTTGAAACCATTAACAAGCATGCCTTTGGTCAAGGGATCAGCAATCATCAATTCAGTGTTAATGTGTTTTATGATCACTTTCTTTTCTTGAACACGTTCTTTTACGGCTCGAAACTTTATGTCAATGTGTTTGCTTTTACTTCCACTCTTATTATTCTTAGCCATAAAAATCGCAGCTGAATTGTCACAATACATCCTTATTGGGCGAATAACAGAGTCAACAACTCTTAACCCAAATATGAAACCTTTTAGCCAAACACCATGTGATGTAGCCTTATAACAAGATATAAACTCAGCCTCCATAATAGAAGTAGAAATTAAGGTCTGCTTTGCACTCCTCCAAGAAACAGCACCATCGGCTAGCATGATCACATATCCTGAGGTGGATTTTCGTGAGTCAATGCAACCACCATAATCGGAGTCTGAATAACCACAACTTCTAGATCTTCTGTTCGTTTATACATAAGCATGTAATCATTGGTACCCTGAAGGTATCTCAACATTTTCTTTGCAGCCTTCCAGTGATCAAGACTTGGGTTACTTTGATATCTTCCCAATACTCCAACAACATATGCAATGTCAGGTCTAGTGCAAACCTGAGCATACATAATGCTTCCAACAACTGAAGCATATGGAATATTTCTCATTTGTTCCTTTTCAATGTCATTCCTGAGACATTAGTCCAAACTGAACCGATCACCCTTTACAATAGGTGCTACACTTGGTGAACAATTTTTCATATTAAATCTTTCAAGCACTTTGTTGATGTAGGCCTCTTGAGACAAACCCAAAATGCCTCGAGATCTATCTCTATGGATCTTAATGCCAATGACATAAGATGCCTCACCCATATCTTTCATATCAAACTTGCTTGAAAGAAATTGTTTCACCTCATATAGCAACCCTTTATCATTAGTTGCTAGCAAAATATCATCCACATATAATACAAGAAAACAGATTTTACTCCCACTAACCTTATGGTATATACATTGATCCATGATATTTTCTTCAAAACCAAATGAAATTATCACTTCATGGAACTTCATATATCATTAGTGGGAGGCCTATTTTAGTCCATATATGGATTTATTAAGCTTACAAACCATATGCTCACCCTTTTCTGAGAGGAATCCTTCAGGTTGTCTCATATAAACCTCTTCCTCTAAAACACCATTCAGAAATGCAGTTTTCACATCCATTTGATGTAACTCAAAGTCAAAATGAGCTACTGCTGCCATGATCACTCGAAGAGAATCCTTCTTTAATACGGGAGAAAAAGTCTCTCTGTAATCAATTCCTTCTATTTGAGTGAACCCTCGAGCAACAGGTCTAGCCTTATGTCTCTCGATGTTGCCTGATGAGTCTTTCTTTGTCTTAAAGACCCACCGACATCCAATGGCTTTTACACCATCGGGCAACTCAACAAGATCCCAAACTTTATTAGATGCCATAGAATTCATTTCATCTTTCATGGCACTCATCCACAAGTCGGAATCCATTGAGTTTGTGGCCTGTGAAAACGTGATTGGATCATTGTCAGCTTCAACATTATAATCCGGTTCTTGCAAATACACCTCAAAATCATCAGAAATAGCTGATCTTCTTGCTCTAGTGGATCTTCATAAAGGAACTCGATCAATGTGTCGATCACCTACATGTTCCTCATTTGCATTGTTATCCATTAAATTATTATCAGCATTTTGTGGAATTTCATTGGTTACTGGTTGCATTACACCCGGTTGAACTTGAGGAACGTGAACAATAACCATCTGGTCACTTGAGTTAATGGGGGAAACTTCAACATGATCCTTTTCAGAAACGTTGTCCCGAAATTGATCACTCCCACTAACTAAGTCATTCTCAAGAAATTTTGCATTTCTCGATTCCACAATTCTGGTGCTATGTGATGGACAATAGAATCTATATCCCTTATATTTTTCGACATATCCAATGAAATTCCACTTATAGTCCTTGGGTTAAGTATCTTTTCTTGTGGGTTGTAAATTCTCACTTCGAACGGGCATCCCCAAATGCGCATATGGCGCAAACTCGGTTTCCATCCTTTGAACAACTCAAAAGGCGTTTTAGAGACAGCCTTGGATGGAACCCGATTTAATATATACACTGCCGTCTTAAGGGCTTCAATCCACAAAAATGGTGGAAGTGTAGCATTGCTCTGCATACTTCTCACCATTTCCATTAAGGTCCTATTTCTTCTTTCTACTACACCATTCTGATCCGGAGAACCAGGTATAGTGTATTGGGCAACAATCCCATGCTCTTGAAGAAATTTTGCAAACGGACCACATGCTTGTCCATTCTCGGTGTATTTACCATAGTATTCTCCACCCCTATCTGATCTCACAATCTTAATGTGCTTACCACATTGTGTCTCTACTTCAGCCTTAAACAATTTAAAGGCACTCAAGGCTTCATCCTTGGAATGAAGTAAGTAAAGATACATATATCGTGAATAATCATCAATAAAGGTGATGAAGTATTTAAGATCTTTAGCATTCATGTCCGGACAACAAATATCCGTGTGTATGATCTCTAACAGGTTAGAGCTCCTCTTAGCACCCCTTTTAGATTTGTTAGTTTGCTTTCCTTTGATGCAACTAACACATGTCTCAAAATCAGCAAAGTTTAGAGTACCAAGTACCCCATCCTTTACTAACCTTTTGACTCTCTCAACGGAGATATGTCCCAATCTGCGGTGCCATAGCATAGAGGATTTTTCATTTATAATACATCGTTTTAAACCAACGTTGACATGCAAGGAACTGTGAGTGATATCATTTTGCAAGTTAAGACAATATAAACCATTAGACAAAATACCATAACTAATAACTTCATAATTTCTTGATAAACTGAAACCAGAATCTGAAAAATTAAAGGAAAATCCTAAAGGTACAAGTCTTGAAACTGAAATCAAATTTCTAGAGAAATTTGGAACATAAAATGTTCTTTCTAAATGAAAAATAAAACCACTACTTAAAGTTAAGCTGCATGTCCCAACTGCTTCCACATGTGAACTCATCTTGTTGCCAGAATAGATGTTTTGTTCACTGCCCATTGGTTTCCTTAGGTTTGTCATACCCTGCAAGGTATTTGAAATATAGATTGTAGTACCAGAGTCAATCCACCATGTATTACAATTAACATCAACCATATTAGATTCATAACAAACAAATGCCAGAAAATTACCTTTCTTCTTAAGCCAATCCTTAAACTTGGTGCAGTCTTTCTTCATATGTCCCTTCTTTTTACAGAAGAAACAAGAAGACTCCTTTTTAATGGATTGATTTGCTGGAATCTTTCCCTTTCCCTTACCCTTAGTGTGATCCATTTTCTTCTTTTCAAAAGTTGTGAGATTCACCTTTTCACCCTCTTCCATCGTCAAACGTCCCTCCTCTTGAACACACATGGTCATAAGTTCATTAATTGACCATTTAAATAAATTTCAGTTAAGTGGTCCATTTATCTTGGTAATTAGTTTCCCATGATCAAGGAAACTGATTACCATTAGTCCAACCACTAACCCACTTCTATAGAACCACCATAACCAACTCACGAATAAGGGGTTTTTGATGGCAAAACTCCCTAGACAGAAATTGTGAGTGTTTTTCATGAAATGGTCACTGCATCCAACTCTCAAATAACAAACACCATCTAAGTGAGAGTGAGGGTTCAGCACCAGAATTAAAAGGTAGATCAAATTCGATTTCGGCGCCGCAACGAGGTTGTTCATCTTCATCTTCCTCGAAGTTTCTGCAATGGCTGGAGGTAAATTTTACACTTTAACGCTTCCGCAATCATGAATTACATGTTGTAATTCAAGTTAATGAGAATGTTATTGTTTATGCGTTAATTAACAATTGTAGCATCTTTGTTAGTATATTCTATAATCATACTTGTATCAATCTTAAATGTATAGCATGTCACCGTAAGAAATGAGAGATTAGGGATTGCTACCGTTGTATTTTCTAAGATGTTGGAAAGGCACACGAGCAAGATTTGTTAGTGACTTCTAACACTCAACCATAATTTGCTTTGAGGCTTGCCTCACTACCCAAAAAAGTCTTGTGAATGTGTTGATTGATGACCTTGACTCAATATTGTGAAAATGAGGTGAAAGAAGTGAAACCATAATAAATCTTACATTATGACATAATAATGCCATTTCTTAGTATCAAGGAATTTTATTTATTTACTCGTATTTTAATGATAAAGAGGGAAGAGATAAGAAAAATCCCTCAAAGTCTCATGAGGTTTAATCCTCAAATGAGTCTCGAGATTTAATCCCTAATTTCCAGGGATAGAGGTCGAAGGCGATGTCACTATTCTATCGCCTCAAACTCAAATAACGTGATTATGAGGGCATATGATTTTACTAGTATCGTAATATTTTTTTTTTTTTTGACAAGTA